CAAGTAGCTGGGATTACAGGTGCCTGCCACCATGCCCAGCTAATTTTTGTATTTTTAGCAGAGATGGGGTTTTACCATGTTGACCGGGCTGGTCTCCAACTCCTGACCTCAGGTGATCTGCCCGCCTCGGTCTCCCAAAGTGCTGGAATTACAGGCGTGAGCCACCACGACTGGCGGGTACATTTCTTACATGTGGTTGCTAAAGACCAAATTCCAGCGTCCTGGGGGCACCCCAGCAACCATCAGAACACGTGGAGTGTTTCTGTTCACCGTTCTGCCCCAGGTGCTGCTGACATCCAGAGGCCAGACCCCACTGAGCATGGAGAACTTGCTGGAACCCAAGGCGGCCAATGCACAGCTCATTGCATTCCTCACACATTACTTTTCGAAACAGAGACTGACTCTGTTACCCAGGCAGAAGCCCAGTGCCACAATCTCGGCTCACTGCAACCTCTGCCTCCCAGGTTCAAGCGATTCTCCTGCTACAGCCTGCTGAGTGAGTAGCTGAGATTACAGGCATCCACCACCACACCCAGCCAATTTTTGTATTTTTACTAGAGCTGGAGTTTCACCATGTAGGCCAGGGTGGTCTTGAACTCCTGACATCAGGTCATCCAACCCCCTCAGCCTCCCAAAGTGTTGGGATTACAGCCGTGAACCACTATGCCCAGCTGCCTCACACCTGTTTCTGACAGCGGTCAGAATATTAATATTGGACTCACCAAACCAGCTTCAGTCACCAGGAAAGAGGAACCACGTCCAACACAGCCAAGCTTAAGGCCACAGAGAGATCGCTGGGAAGGGAGGGCAGCGTGAGACGCCAGGTAACTCCCTTGATCCTAACGACACCAGCCAGGGTGTCTCACTGACCTCATGGCACTGCTGCAAGGATAACCTAAGTTAATACATGGATTTGAATGTGTGGACGCAGAGAAGGCAATACCCCAGGCTTTCTCAACCTTAGCATTACTGACACATGGGGCCACATGTCTGTGCTGTGTGGACACGTCCTGTACACCGTAGGACGGTCAGCAGTGTCCCTGGCCTCTTACTAGATGCCAATAACATCCTCCCCCTACCACCACCACAGTTGTGACAAAGTATCTTCAGACACTGCCCCACATCCCCTGGGGAGTCAAAACCACCTGGTTGGGCCAGACACAGTAACTCACACCTTATAATCACGCTTTGGGAGGGCGAGGTAGGCCGATCACGTAAGGTCAAAAGTTTGAGACTAGCCTTCCTAACATGGTGAATCCCCGGCTCTATCAAAAATATAAAAATTAGCTGGGTGTGGTGGCAGGCTCTAGTAAGTGCAGCCACTAGGGAGGCTGAGGTAGGAGAATCGTTTAATCCCAGGTGGAAGAGCCTGCAATGAACCGAGATCACGCCACTGCACTGCAGCCTGGGAGACTGCCTGAAAGAAAAAAAAAACCACAACAGAAAGACCCACTTAGTTGAGAATCCCCGATCTAACCTGCTCCGCTGCCATCCATCATCCACGGATACTTGGGCGGTGGCTGTGCCGGTGCCAGGCGGAGGGGGGAGGCAGGGAGTCCACCTTTTCTTGAGGACACAGGGCCTGCTCCGTCCATCTGGTCAAGGGACTTTCTATTGGCCCATCCTGACAGGATTTTGTGATGCCCCTTTTGGCCTGGAGTAATCTAAATCTAGATGGAAATGCAGCTTCTACCTCCTTTAAAGTGGGGCAGGGAGTCCACAGTTTTCACCTGCCCCAAGTCATGCCCACAGAGCTGCGGACCTACAACTGCCTACTCCTAGCTCCATTTCACAGGTGAGGAAACTGAGGCTCGAGGAGTTGACATGACTTCACAACTCCTCACAAGCGGATGACCAAGTTAGTAAGGACAGAGTGGGGATCTGCTTCTGAGTCTAAGGCCAGAGTCACTGCACCGGGCACATGCGTGCTACAGACGAAGGAAGGGCAGCAGATGCAGCCTGTGTCTTTTCTCTGCCTGGAGCTGAGCCCCCTGACAGCCCTGCACAGTGACCCCAGGCAGGGGCTGCCGTGTGGGCATTTGGCAAACTCGATTGGGCATGAGGCAGGGCCACCAGATGCTCTTTCCTCGGCTGTGTGCCAGGGAGCAGAGTGTGGGCCACAGGCGGCCGGCACGTGGGAACTGGTGCCTGCCAGTCTGCTAATGAGGCTGCTGTCCGGCCTGCACCACAGCTGCCTGGAGATGTGCCAGCAGGACTGCCCGAGCCATTCATCCCCTGACACGGGCTCTGGCCAGCAGCGCCTGGCTGGCGGGTGGAACACGAATGAGATCCAGCAAGGCTGCAGACCCCCTCCCTCGGTCAATGCCTGCACCCGGCAGACTCTTCAAACTCAACGCTGTCCACATTGCCACTGCAAACACCAAACTTCCTGCACCTGACACTGCTCTAAATGCCTGCCACATACTCACCCAGCAGACACAGGGAGGAAACCCCTATCACTGGGCCCCTCAAAAGGACGCTTTGATAAGGAAGGTCCTACCATCAGACCCTTTTAGCAGATGAGAAAGAGCGTGAGTGGTGTCTCTGCCCTAGCGATCTGGCTTCAAAGCCTGTGTCCTCACCACCAGGCTACCTTGCCTCTTTTTCTTTAAAAAAAAAAAAAAAAATTACAGGCAGGAGCCACTCCATCCGGCCAATACTGTGAATTCTAATGGTCACAACTTCACCAGCTTCTCACTGGGCACCTTCATACTCTGGGTCCTAACGCAAGCCAACGACTTCATTCAGGCATGAGCCACCACACCTGGCGATGCTACCCATTCTCATGGTAATGACCTTACTAACCTTTCACAAGTCACCTTCATACTCTGTGGTTCCCAGTGCATGCCAGTGGTTTCAGTGGGGCATGAGTCACCACACCCAGACAATACTGCTAATTCTAATGGTCATCACCTCAACCGACTTCTCTGGACACCTTTGTACACCACAGTCCCTAGTGCAAGCCAACAATTTCAAACAGGGACAGCAAGCCTTGAGGGAACACATGGCAGTGATGGAACGTTCCATGTGCACATGTACTTGGTACATGGTTTTAGGAGTGGGAGAAATGGTGTGCTCCCCAAACGTAAGGAGTTCCTTACTGCCCAGATTCACCCAGTTCAAAGCTAGAAACCAAACACTCTAGTCTGACTACTCCACTACCCACAACTTAGGGACCACATCAATTAGGAAAGGGGAAAATACTTCTTCCGCCAACACTGCTCCATTTCTGGCCGCCTGCAGTGGTTGGGTGGGGAACAGGTGACTCATTTGGGCTAATGAGCTGTGAGTGGGATTCACTGCGTCAGTTCTGGTTTTAGACACAAAATAGTGGGGGAGAGTCGTCCACTCTCTTCTCTCACTGTGGGGACCTGGAAGCCTGCCCTTGGGAGGCCATGTTGTAAAACGAGGACAGTCTGGATCAGTTATCACAGGGAAATCAGCTACCCTAGAGAGGCGGCTGACTCTCATTAAGAACCGCATGAGCAGGAAATAAAGCCGTGCATGCACTTCCCAAGATTTTATGGCGAATTTTACACTGCAGCATGGCCTTGCCTCTCTGGACTAACAAAGGGATTTTCAGGCCAGGTGCGGTGGTTCACGCCTGTGATCCCAGCACTTTGGGAGGCTCAGGTAGGAAGATCCCTTAAGCCCAGGAGTTTAAGACCAATCTGGTTAACGCAGCAAGACTGTCTCTATAAAAAATTTTAACAATAAGCCAGGCATGGTGGCACGTACCTGTAGTCTCAGCTACTCTGGAGGCCAAAGCAGGAAGATCGTTTGAACCCAGGAGGCTGAGGCCGCCGTGAGCTATGATCGTGCCACTGTACACCAGCCTGGACAACAGAGTGAGACCCTGTCTCTAGGAAAAACAGGCAGGGGGCAGGAATTTCAAGGATCTTTCTGCCCACATGTGATTTCTGCCTCACCTGTGTCTTAGAACCTGACCAAAGCTACGTGTACCACACACATCACTGCTCACAGGGTATGAACGATCAGCCTCATTTTACAAAAGTAAGTGAGGCTCAGAGACCAAGTGACCTTCCCAGGGTCACATGAACAGCAAATGACAAGAGCAGGACTCAAGCTAGGGTCTGTCCACCCTGCGGCTGCCCCGCCTTCCCACTGAACCCCACCTGACGCGTGACCTCAAGGACTCGCTCTTTCTGGCAACAGCTCCCACCAGAGGCGATGTGTTTGTCAAAAGGAAAGAAGAGAAACAGGAAGATCCCACATCCTGACCATGCCAGAGGAGATGGCTAGAACCCTGGCTGGCGCCCCGAAAGAAAGGGAAACATCGTTTAGAAAGAAATAAAATATATATATATATGTATTTTTTTTTTACTGCAAATGTTCACGTTTCCAGTGTAAGTCATTACAAAGGATCCCCCAAAACTTGATTTACCTAATGCAAAAGAATGGTATAACTTACAAAAAATAAATATGTATTTTTACCTAAAAGAAAGATGCTCTCTGGGTGTGAAGTCGGCGGCGTAATTCTTTTTGAGACGAAGTCTCGCTCTGTCGCCCAGCTCCGGCTAGAGTGCAGTGGCACTATCTCGGATCACTGCAACCTCTGCCTCCCAGCTTCAGGCGATTCTCCTGCCTTAGCCTCCCACGCCCTGCTAATTTCTGTATTTTTAGTAGAGACGGGGTTTCACCATGTTCCCAGGTTGGTCTCCATCTCTTGACCTTGTGATCTGCCTGCCTCAGCCTCCCAAAGTGCTGGGATTACAGGCGTGAGCCACCGTGTGCGACTGAAGTCGGCGATGTAATTCTTAGCAAGTATGAGTCTTGGGGCAGCCGTCAGCTCTGGCTGCTTTCTGGATTTCACTTTGGGCTCCAACCAAGAAACCTGAAAGAACAGGCTTTAGAAGATGCTGCTTCTCCATTTTCTTCCAGGAACACAAATGCAGGGTGCACTTCTCACTAGTTCCTGGGAATGTTACTTCTCAGCACAATGCTCCTCCTAAGAAGTTCAAGTTTTGCGACTGTTTTTCTCCCTGGAGCAGTACTTTAAAAAAAAAAAAAAAAAAAAAAAAAAACAATATTCAAAGGTGGGTTCTTTTCGTGTCCTGGAAGAGCATCAAAGACTACATGTCAGCCTCTCTCCTCAGCAGCTAACCGGATGCCAAGGGAGAGAGACTAAAACCTAAAAACAAGGAAAAGATGCACGGGATGCTTTTTGGTACCCACTAGTAATATTTGGGAGGTACTTTGTGTTATTTACTTTGAAAGCTTCATAATCATGACCAGGTACCAGGAGAAGGAAAGAAAAGACGCAAAAAGAAAAAAGAACAACACAGTCAACACTGTAAGCAACCAACACAGCTCTGGGCCAGGCCCCAACGCTGCTTCTGCTAGGACTGGTGCAGCAGACTTCCAGCCAGTTGCTCGCCCTCAATCTCTTATTTCTAGTCAATGTCAAATCCCCATGAGGCCATCTCCTTAATATTTACCCCACATCAATCATGGTGGGAACAGCAGTAAGTGCTGATTGTTCTTACATTGTTGAACAAAAGAAATAAGCAAGGGAAAGCCTGGAATGGGGGTGGGTGGGGAAGGGAGTCCAAAAAAGTCAACTAAGAGACAATCCCCCAGCGATGCAGTTCCAGCTCCAGGTTATCCGTTAGTCCAACCAGGTCCCTTCCAGGAGGACAGGTGTGTGAGTGCACAGGCTGCCTCCAGCCCAAAGCAAGACCTGGTAGAGGTGGCGCTGGGATGTCGGATCCCAGCTTCTGAGTGCCTGGAAGACCGGATGTCGGTAAGAGGGCCATCCAGAGTGCTGGGACACTGCCCACGGGAGAGAATGATTTTCAGCAGGCCCCTCAACCTGAAAACAGCAGCCCCAAGGAAATGAAGCATTCCGGGTGGACCCAGACAAGGATGTTGGAGGTGATAGGAGCCAGAAGCATCTCAAAAGACTTGGAATCCACAGACTTTGGCTGGAGAGATCCGAGGCAGGAGACTGGATTTGGTCACTATGATCTTCTGTACAACCAATGACTCCTCTGCGGAAAGCACCAGAAGCACACTTGCCTTCCCAGGACATGAGGTTGTGTGTGTGTCTCGGGGCACCAGAGGCCAGGGCGTGCATGTTTTGGGTTGCACACATCTCTGTGTCTCTCCTGTGTCTTCATTGCCAGTTCCAGGCAGGGGACCAGATGGTGGTGGCTGCTTCTTTGGGTGTGTTTTGGTTTTATGGGTTTGGTTTTAATTTTTTGGTTTCAGTGTGGGAGGCTTTGTTTCCCAGGGGCGCTGACTCCTCCCTGGGCGTTGGCATGTAGGCCCTGCAGTTCCGACCAGATATGCCAGCTCTGGGGCTCACACCAAGCCAGCATCTTTGGCCATGCTATAGAAGAGACCTCTCTGCTGCAGGAGGTCCGAGGGGGCGCCGTACTCCTGGATTTCTCCTTTGTCCAGGACGATCACCCTGTAGGGGAGGGGAAGGAGACGGCTTAGTACCTCATGCCCCTGGGACACCACCTGGGCAAGTCACTGCTTTGGGTCAGGCCCCTAACACTTTCTGCTGGGACTGGTGCAGTAGCCTTCCAGCTGGCTGCTCACCCTCACTCTCTATTTCTAGTCAATGTCAAATTCCCATGAGGTCACCTCCTTAGTATTTACCCCACATTAATCATGGTGGGAACAGTAATAACAGCGTTGACTGTCCACATTCACTGTTCCATTACATTCAGAGTAAAATAAAAAGATCTTACCATGGTCTACAATAAGGATTGGCAGCATTTTTGTGAAAAAGGCCAGAGACTCAATACTTCAGGCTGTGCAGGCCACATGGTTTCTGTTACAAGTAGACATCTCTGCTGTATTTAAAGTGTGAACGCTGCCAGCGACAACAGCGAATGAACAGGCGTGGCTGTGTGCCAATAAAAATGTATTTACAAAAACAGGCAGGGGGCCACATCTGGCCTGTGCACTGTAGTTGACTGACCCCTAATATTTGAGGACCTATAGGATCTGACACTGCCCAGGTCTGACCTCATTTCTGTGTCCTATATCTCAAAAGCACCAACTCAGCATCTGTCACGTAGTAGGTGGTACTCAGTGAGCTAGAAACGTCCTGTCTGTTGGGTGCAGAGGCTCATGCCTGTAATTCTGGCACTTTGGAAGGCTAAGACAGGAAGATCACTTGAGGCCAGGAGTTTGACGCTGTGGTGAGCTGTGATCTCACCACTGCACTCCAGCCTGGGCCACAGGGTGAGACCCTGTCTCAAAAATAAACAAAATAAAATAAAATAGAAATATCATGTCACTCCCCTGCTTAAAACCTTCCTATGGCTTTCCAGGATTCTTAGAATAAGTTCCAAGCTTCTCACCGTGGTTACATGCTGCTTTAAGATCTAGCCCCTGCCTACCTTTCTGGCCTCGTCTCCTCAATTCCAACCTCTAGGTGCAATGCCACCTCATGCCAGCCTTCGAATTCATTAAGCACATTCATTCAGTTTTACATTCAGCTGTACCAGCTGCCTAGAACGTTCTTCCCGTAGATCAGAGGCTGGCAAACTGTGGTCTGCAGGCCAAATCTGCCACCCTGCCTGTTTTTAATAATAAAGTTTTACTGGAACACAGCCATGCTCATTCGTTTGTGCACTGTCTATGGCTGCTTTCACAAAGCAACCTGGGAGCCGAGTAGCTGAGACACTACCCAGCCCTTAAAGAACAAGGTTCAGGATCGCTATTCCAGACCTTCCTATGGCTGACTCCTTTTCATGGTTCAGGTCTCAGCTAAAATGTCACCTCCTCAGAGGTGACCCGTGCAAAACCCAAAACCCCCCAAGAGCCTGGCAGCAGAGCTGCATTTTGACTTTGTGGTTCCAGGCACTGATGCTTGAAGTACGGGGGTGGCGTTCTCCACACAAAATGCTGAAAATCCTATTTTATGAATGTGTTGGCATAAATAGAACCCAGGTTGGATTATACTCTTTTTTGGCTTTTTTTTTTTTTTTTTGGAGATGGAGTCTCACTCTGTTGCCCAGGCTGGAGTGTAGCAGCATGATCTCAGCTCGCTGCAACCTCCACCTCCCAAATTCAAGCAATTCTCCTTTCTCAGCCTCCCAAGTAGCTGGGATTACAGGCACGCACCACCACACTTGGCTAATTTTTGTATTTTGAACGGTGACAGGGTCTCACCGTGTTGGCCAGGCTGGTCTCGAACTACTGACCGCAGGTGATCCACCTGCCTCGGTGTCCCAAAGTGCTAGGATTATAGGCATGAGCCACCGCACCCAGCCTGCTTCCGATTTTTAAAAGAAAAGTAAATCTTTCTGTGGGCCCCAGGCATGGGGCCTGCAGTGCTCAATGGAAACCCTGGCCCTGCCTGGCAGTCACTATCCTGTGTCCCTAGCAAGTGTCCTTCCCAGCACCTGCTGCCCTCTGGAAGCCTGTTGGTTTCTTGCTCTGTCCAATTTCTTTCTCCCGCATCTAATAAGCTACTTGGTCCCAGAAGCAAGGACCTCGTCTGACAGCAGCCTCCAGAGTCTGCAGCGTCTGGAAGCAGGGCAGGTGTGCTCTGCGGACACACTGACAGAATGAATGATTGGAAGATGTCAGAAATACCTGGTACTGCCAGGCGCAGTGGCTCCCGCCTATACTCCCAGCACTTTGGGAGGCCAAGGAGGGCTGATCACCTGATGTCAGAAGTTTGAGACCAGCCTGGCCAACAGAGTGAAACCCTGTCACTATTAAAAATACAAAAAATAGCCAGGCATGATGGCACACACCTGTAGTCCCAGCTATTCAGGAGGCTGAGACAGGAGAGCTGCTTGAATCCCAGAGGTGGAGGAGGCAGTGAGTCGAGATGGTGCCACTATACAACAGCCTGGGCAATGACTCAATCTCAGAAAAAAAGAGAAATACCTGGTACCATCCAGGATGAAGAAAGGATCCACCCACTGGGCTGCCACTCGGCATAAGGACAGTGCTGAGTGACTGAATAAATGAATGAGCCAATAAGTGAGGCGAACTCCCCAAGCCCAGAGACCACTGTGCCAGGACATCACCTTGTGTAGTCCATGATGGTGTTGAGCCGGTGGGCGATGGTGAGGACGGTGCAGCCCTCGAACTGCGTCCGGATGGTGGACTGGATGAGGTCGTCTGTCTCGAGGTCCACGGCTGCTGTGGCCTCATCCAACACAAGGATCTTCGTCTTCCTCAGCAGGGCCCGGGCCAGGCACACAAGCTGGCGCTGCCCAACACTTGACCAGAAGAAAAAGACCAGGAGACAGTGTTGGGTCAAACCACCCGACCCTGAACCTAGGCCCAGGCTGGAAGGAGTGAGACGAGACACTCTGTGTGGCTTGACAGGACAGCCCACCACTCCCAACTCCTGTGCCTACAGCAGACATCACTGATCAATCAGAATACATCTCCCATTCGGCAAGAGCAGGTTCAGAATATTCTCAAAACAGTGGCTCACATCTACAAACCTCGCACTTTGGGTGGCCAAGGTGTGAGGACTGCTTGAAGCCAGGAGTTTGAGACCAGCCTGCGCAGCAAAGCTAGACCTCTATCTCTCTAAAAAAATAAAAATAAAAAAATTAGCTGGATGTGATGGCACGCTTCTGTAGTCCCAATTACTTGGGAGGCTGAGACAGGAGGACTGCCTGAGTCTCCGAGTTTGAGGCTGAGATCAAGCCACTGTACTCCAGCCTAGGCAACGGAGTGAGACCCTGTCTCTTAAAAAAACTAAAACAAAAAAGAGCCGGGCACAGTGGCTCCCACTAATAATCCCAGCACTTTGTGAGCCAAGGCAAACAGATCACTTGAGGCCAGGAGTTCCAGACCTGCCTGGCCAATGTGGTGATGATACCCCTTCTCTACTAAAAACGCGAAAATTAGCTGGGCATGGTGGCAGGCACCTGACATGCAGCTACTTGGGAGGCAGAAGCAGGACAATTGCTTGAGACTGGGGGTAGAGGTTGCAGCTGAGATTGCACCACTGCACTCCAGCCAGGGTGACAGAGTGAGACCCTGTCTCAAAAAGAAAGAAAGAAAGAAACGGCCTCATATCCATGCATCCCTATCCAACTGCGGGGCCGTGACGGTTGGCTCTGGACTCAGACATGTACCTTGCTTTGGCCAATGGGACACCAGCAAACATAAGACCAGCCAAAAGAATACTGTGAGATGCACACTGGGGCTTGCACGCTCTGGTGCCCCTGTCACTGCCATGACAACATGCCCAAGCTGGTCTGCTAGAGAATGAGGGATGTACCCTTCTTGCCCCACCTGAGGTCAAGTAGATGAGCCAACAGTCAGCTGACCCGAGACAGGCATGTGAGCCCAGTCAAATCAGCAGAGCCACCTGGCTGACTGCCCTCGAATGGTAGCAATGATCCCTGCTTTATGGTTGAACGTGACTGAGGCTTTGTGGTTGTCACGGAGACGGATAACCGAACCAGAACCAGGCACTGACAAAGAACACCACAGCAGCACCCCAGAGGCACCCGTGCTGCGCCAGGCATTAATGCTTTAGTTGCTGGGCCAGGGACAGAGCTCCAGGATCCTGGGAGAAGGACCGAGACAGCTGGAGTAGTGCATGGGGACTTGGAGGCTCAGAGCAGTGCTAGCGACCAACTGTACACAGCCTTTCTATAGTTTAACAACTGACAGCCACTCTCAACTGAATGGAGCTGGTGCGTATAAAAGGAAACACATTGGCCATCCTGGTTATAAAAAGCCTCATGGTATAAAAAGCCTGGATTAAGACCCATTTTACAGATACAGAAACTGAGGCTCCAAAAGGTGAAGGGACAAATGGGTCATCTGCAGCACAACTGGGACTCAAATCCAGGTCTACCCCAGGTCTGGACAGAATCTTCAAACACTCCCCTACCGAGGTGGTACCTAGGAGACCTTATCCAGTGTCCCCCAGTCCACCCCCACCTACCTGAGGTTCTCTCCGCCTTCTGCACACTCGTGGTCCAGCTTGTCAGGAAGGGCTGACACGAAGTCCTTCAGGTGAGCCAGCTCCAGGGACATCCAGACTTCTTCGTCCGAGTATTGGCTGAACGGGTCCAGGTTCATGCGGAGGGAACCCGAAAACAAAACAGGGTCCTGTTCAGAGAGAAGAGAGTGGCGGCATGTGACACCTATGTCACACTGACGTGGATTGAGAAGAGGTGAGGCATAAAGACTTCCGGCCAGGACTGGTGAAGGTGGGGTTTCAGAGCTCGTTGGAATCACTGTTTCCTGAGATGTTAATAATGGAGAAAGGCCAGGTGCAGTGGCTCACGCCTGGAATCCCAGCACTCTCTGAGGCCAAGGTGGGCAGATCACTTGAGGTCAAAATTTCGAGACCAACCTGGCCAACATGGCGAAACCCTGTCTCTACTAAAAATGCAAAAATTAGCTGGACATGGTGGTACACACCTGTAGTCGCAGCTATGCGGGATGCTGAAGCAGGAGAATCACGTGGACCAGGGAGGTGGAGTTGGCCGTGATCCAAGATCCTGCCACTGCGCTCCAGTCTGGGCAACAGAGTGAGACTCTGTCTTGATTTAAAAAAAAAAAAAAATTCTTAATAACGGAAAAAAAAGTCTGGAAAATCCGAGTTTGGCAGAGTAAGACCGACTTCCTTTCCATACAACTTCCTAGAGCCTTCAATATACAAGTAGGTTGAGAACCTTCCACAAGTGAGCTGCAGCACAGGTAAAGTCCTGTAGATTTCTCACCTGTCCTCCAACTCCAAAAGAGAATCTTCTGAGAAGCTTTAGGGAAGATGACACTGAAAGGTGACATGTTAAGGAATCAACCTGCAGGGACTGGTCTAGAAAACCCTTATTTTGGCCACGCATGTTGGCTCACCCCTGTAATCCACTCCTTGGAATCACTATTTCTGGAGATGTTAATAATGGAGAAAAAGGCCAGGTGCAGTGGCTCCCGCCTGGAATCCCAGCACTCTGGGGGGCCAAGGCAGGCAGATCACTTGAGGTCAGGAGTTGGAGACCAGCCTGGGTAACATGGTGAAACTCCATCTCTACTAAAAATACAAAAACTAGCCAGGTATGGTGTGCATGCCTGTAATCACAGCTAACTGGGAGGCTGAGGCAGGAAAATCGCTTGAACCCAGAAGGTGGAGGTTGCAGTGAGCGGAGATCACACCACCACACACCATCCTGGGAGACAGAGTGAGACTCTGTCTTAATTTAGAAAAAAAAAAAAAAAAAAATCCTTATTTCTTACCAAATACTGCATGTTCTCACTTATAAGTGCCAGCTGAACTGTGGGTACTCATGGATGTAAAGATGGGAACAACAGAACCGGAGCCCCCAAAAGTGGGGACAGATAGAGGAGGGTAATGGTTGAGAAACTCTCTCGGGTACTCTATTCAACATGTGGGCGCTGAGATCCACAGAAGCCCAAGCGTCAGTGTCACACGATATACCCATGTAACAAGCTTGCACGTGCACCCCGCCAATCTAAAATGAAGAGAAAACATTCTTATTTCTTGTCTGGCTCTCAGAAGGGTGAGAGATTCTCAGTCTGACTCCGACAGCAGAAAGAGAAAACGGTGCTTTTTAGATTTTTCTAGATGCTTGGGAAACTACCCCTTGCGGGGACAGGAGGTGGGGAATGATACTCAGTGATTTCTCACATTGTGAATCATATGCAAAGAGGAAACTGAGGGAAGCAGCAGCATAGCCTAAATTCAATACAAATAATGAAGGCCAGTCCGGCGTGGGGGCTCATGTGTGTCATCCCAGCACTTTGGGAGGCCAAGGCAGGAGGATCATTTGAGCCCAGGAGTTCAAGAGCAGTCTGGGCCACATGCTGAGACCCCACCACCACAAAAAATACAAAAGAGATTTAGCTGGGTGTGGTAGCATGTGCTTGGAGTCGCAGCTACTCAGGAGGCTGGGGTGGGAAAATCACTTGAGCCTGGGAGGCGGAGGTTGCAGTGAGCTGAGACTGAGCCACTGCACTCCACCCTGGGCAACAGAGTGAGACTCTGTTTCAGAAAAAAAGACCAAACAAAAACAATACAATGAAGTAGGGTCAAATGTATGTTTGCCCCCAAAATATACATACATCGCTGTGAGTGCACCCACAGGACGCGCCAAGCCTGGCTCACCCCCGGCCGCACCCAGACCCACCTGGGGGATGATGGTGATCTTGAAGCGGAGGTTGTGCAGGCCGATCTTGGCGATGTTGATGTCATCGATGATGATCTCGCCTTCGGCAGATTCATTGATCCGAAATAAGCCCAGGGTCAGGGACGACTTCCCAGCTCCCGTCCGCCCCACGATGCCAACCTGCAGGACAGAGGGCCCAGGTGTGATGGGAATGCTGGCATCTGGACTTGTCCCCGCCCCACAGCACCCTCTTCTCTGCCCCACTTCAGGCATCAGTCATCTGGTCGACCCAACTCCACAGCCCTCTCCCTCACCTGCTGCCCAGAGACACTCCTTTAAGGGTGTTTTGGCAAAAGGTTACAAAGGACTCTCTTCCCTTTGCCAGGCTTCCGGAAGGAATTCCTCAGCTTTTTGTAAGTTACTAGAGACCTCAAAAGACATACACAACAGGCAGAAGGAATTTCCAACAAAGCCCTATTTGTTTTGACTCAAGTAACTACTAACAATCAGCTAGTTCCCCATTTCCCCATGCTGTTTTTCACCCCTCTCACGGTGAGTTTCCCATTATGAGCTGTTGAAATACCCGAAAGATTCAAGCGGATCTTCTGTGCCCTTTGCCATGACCCAGTCTCCACACATCCTCCCTTGAAGGAACTAGTTTCTCCAGCTAAAGGCCAATGATGCCATTCCTCATCTGCAGTTCTCCCGGGCTCTTGAGAAACGGGCTTCCTCTACCCTCCTACAGGGGTGTCACAGGGCAGTGTGCGTGCAAAACTTCTCATGACGTAAGGTAAGCCATGAAGACTCAGCGAAGACTGAGGTGCGGTGGCGCACGCCTGTGATCCCCGCACTGTGGGAGGCCGAGGTGGGTGGATCACAGAAGGTCAGGAGATCGAGACCAGCCTGGCCAACATGGTGAAGCTCCGGCTCTACTACTACAAAACTTAGCCAGGTGTGGTGGCATGTACCTGTCGTCCCAGATACTCAGAAGACTGAGGCAGGAGAATCACTTGAACCCGGGGACTGGAGGTTGCAGTGAGCCGAGATCAAGCCACCACACTCCAGCCTGGGCAACAGAGTAAGACTCCATCTCAAAAAAACCCCAAAAAACAAACAAACAAACTTCTTCCAGGGGCCAGGCATGGCAGCTGACTCCTGTAATCCCAGCACTTTGGGAGGCTGAGGCGGGCAGATCACTGAACACAAGACATCCAGGCCAGCCTGGGCAACATAGTGAGACAAAAATGCGCCGAGCGTAGTGGGACATGCCTGGAGTCCCAGCCACTTGCAGTGCCCCCACTTGAGAGGCTGTGGCTGCAGTGGGCTGAGATCACACCCTTGCACTCTAGCCTGTGTGACAAAGTGGGTCACTGTCCCAAAAAAGAAAAAATCTTCCAAAACGTATCTGTGGGACTCATTCGGTCTTCGGGCTCCCGGTTCGCCTGAAGCCTTCACTTCTGCAAGTTGGATGCGTGCTAACAAGGTTACAGCCACAGCCCACTCCCACCCCCCAACAGCCATTCGCACGGAGGTGTGGAGGCGTGAGTGAAGGGCAGAAGCCGCAGCGAGGTTCACCTGCCTCGTGGCACCCTGTGAATGCCGAGGCGACGTGTACCTACCTTTTCTCCCCCGTTGATGGTGACATTGATGTGCCTGAGAACAAAATCCAGGTCCTCTCGGTAGCGCAGACAGTAGTTGCGGAATTCCACTCGGCCCACCTGGGGCCAGCTGTTGGGAGGAGCTGTCTCCTGGATTTGCCAGGGGGCCTTCGATCACAGGAGGAGAGGGAGAGAGTGAGGAATTCCCAGTCTATCCTATAAGACTGTGACTTCCCCGACCTCCCCTCCCCCTTACTCCCTCTGCTGCCCGAGGTGACGTCCCAGGCTTCAGCACTGCAGGTCTGTGCTTCCTGGAATGCTCTTCCCCAAATGACCCCCTCGCATCCTGAAGGTCTCTGGTCCATGCAGAGCGCCCTCCCACCCCTGCGTGCCTCTGTCCCCTCCTGCGCCGCCTTCTCCTTCAGAGCACTGCCTGCCTCTGGCCCTCTTGGGGCTCTTATACTTGAGTGTATTCTGTCTCCCACATTCACTGCACCATCCACTAAGTGAGGACAGTCTCTAATTGTTCACCGCTGTATCCTAGGGCTCAGAGCACACAGTAAGTACTCAGTAAATATTTATGGACATAAACAACAAGAGTGACACAGTTGCTGACATGGTAAGTGAACCAGTGGCAGAAGGCAAAGAAACTGAGGGACATGATCATCACTCAGTAGGTCAGAGATACCTTCTGTAAAGCTGTCATCTCTCTGTAATTGGTAATGGCTGACTGGACCACAGTTGTTCACTTTTGTCTGATGTTCATGTTCACCTTTCTCTTAAAATAACTGTACAAATGACTTGTATATACACTGTTCTTTTCTGTTTTTTTCTATTTTTTATTTTTCCATTGTCCTCCAACCTGGGCAACAGAGTGAGTTGCCTAGGCTGGAGGGCAATGGCATTTCAGCTCGCTGCAACCTCCACCTCCCAAGTTCAGGCAATTCTCCTGCCTCAGCCTCCCAAGTAGCTGGGATTACAGGCAGGTGCCACCAACCCCAGCTAATTTTTGTATTCTTAGTAGAGATGGGGTTTCACCACGTTGGTCAGGCTGGTCTTGGACTCCTGACCTCCTGATCCACCCACCTCAGCCTCCCAAAGTGCTGGAATTACAGGCATGAGCCACTCCGCCCAGCCATACATATTGTTCTTAATATGAACATAGTAGGTAAACTTTTAAAAATTTAAATAGTTTAATTTGTAACTTTTTAAAATATAATATAAAATAAATGTTTCCCCCAGATTCTTTTTTTTAAATTAATTAATTTTTTATTGCATTTTAGGTTTCGGGGTACATGTGAAGAACATGCAAGACTGTTGCATAGGTACACACATGGCAGTGTGATTTGCTGCCTTCCTCCCCTTCACCTATGTCTGGCATTTCTCCCCATGCTATCTCTCCCCAACTCCCCACCCCCCACCGTCCCTCCCTATTTCCCCCCACCCCCAGATTCTTTTAACATCAAGGAAATGTGTAACAGCTTGTCAGAGACTTCCTATGGAAGAAAGAATTTTTTAGGTAACTGTCATTAGGTTGGATAAGGTAATAGATACATTTCAGCATAACAAGTGGTGGTACATCGTATCTGTATCTCTAGGCCGATGCAGAATTTTAAGGTTATAGACAACAGGGCGATATTTCACGCACAGACTGGCTGTCGATATTTGAGGAACACCATACAGAGATTTGTAAAAGTGATTCTGCAAAGTCTACACCATGGTCTCTGTTTCTCTAAAGTAAGTGTTTGTGATTTGTTCCTCACACAAAAGTCAAAAAGAAACAAGAAAACAATCACATCAATCTTGAAGTAGGTTTCAATGTTGGTGAATTTCTGTTTTTAGATACCAATAGAAGTTATTTGTTTGATGAAAAAAATCTAAAACAATAAATATTTATGGAGTCAATGAAATGAGTGGTCTTCTCTGGACAGGCACGAGAATAAAAGTGGGTGACCCTGGCTGCCCACCCCGGCAGGAAGGCAAGGAGACAGGCAGGGGCTGTGTCATTAGCCCCACCCAATCCTCACAGCAATCCCATGTGGGGTCCTTCCATTACCTCAGTTTACACACAGTGCCTCACCCAATCCTCACAGCAATCCCATGTGGGATCCTTCCATTACCTCAGTTTACACACAGTGCCTCACCCGATCCTCACAGCAATCCCATGTGGGATCCTTCCATTACCTCAGTTTACACACAGTGCCTCACCCAATCCTCACAGCAATCCCATGTGGGGGTCCTTCCATTACCTCAGTTTACACACAGTGCCTCACCCAATCCTCACAGCAATCCCATGTGGGGGTCCTTCCATTACCCCAGTTTAGACACAGGGGACTGAGACACAGAGAGGGGAGGCAGCTTGCCCCGGGACACACAGCCTGCTTCTGAAAAGCAGGAGTGCAGCATTTCCTGAGGCCACAGCTGCATGTGGACTGGGCCAGGTTCAGTGGTTTTAGCCTCAGAGAATGCATGTCCCTCCAGGGCACACATAGGTGGGGAACCAGGCTAGAGAGTGCATGGCCAAGCTCAGGGGCACGGCGGCCCGTAACAATAAAACATCATGCAGCCTTTAGGCAAGACATTCAGCCCTTTGTGGGTGTGCTATAAAACAACAGTGCTGCACGGTGGCTCACGCTTGTAATCCCAGCACTTTGGGAGGTAGAGGTACAGAGATCACTTGAGGTCAGGGTCGGGGTAGGGGTGCCACCAGGCATTACTGTGATTATTTATTATCACTGATGTTCCTACTCGTGCTGGTGTTCAGGGCCTAAGAAGGCAGTTATGAAGGGCATTGTGACAGTCCCAGCTGTTCTACAGAGCCATGTGGGATCTTGATCAGACCACCAAGTTGGCCAGGCTGGTCTAGAAATCCTGGCCTCAAGTCATCTACCCACCTTGGCCTCTCAAAGGGATAGAATTATAGGCATTGGCCACTGTGCCTGGCCTTGTATTGATTAAAAAAAAAACAAAAAAAACCCCAACAACCAACAAGCATATCTCTATTTTATAATTTATATACAAAATTGAAGGGAAGATGCTATGAGAGCACAGCGAGGGGAATGGAGAGAAGCATGTGGAACTTTCTATCTACATATGAAAATACTTGTATATACAGACAGAATAGTGGTAGGGCTAATGAGGGCAATTACTTTCTCTTGTGCTTGTCAAATATGCTCCTAAAAATATGAAAGTAAAATGCTTTTAAAAACTGAATTTGGGACAGGCGTGGTGGCACAAGCCTGTGATCCCAGCACTTTGGGAGGCCGAGGTGAGCAGATCACAAGATCAGGAGTTCGAGATGAGCCTGGCCAACATGGTGAAACCTCATCTCTACTAAAAATACAAAAATTACCCAGGCGTGGTGATGCACGCTGCGTAATCCCAGCTATTCAAGAGTCTGAGAATCACTTGAACTCAGGAGGCAGAGGTTGCAGTGAGCTGAGATCACACCACTGCACTCCTGCCTGGGAACAGAGCAGGACCTGGTCTCAAAAAAAAAAAAGAAAAAAAATTGAATTCAATCAAACTGCACACTTTTACTGGGTGAACTGCATGGCATGTGAAATTTACACGTCAATAAGGCTATTATAAAAACCAATGAAATAAATTAGCTGGGCGGCATGGTGGGTACCTGTAATGCCAGCCTGCAGCCTGGGCAAAAAAAGCAAAATTACATCTCAAAACAAAACCAAAAAAAAAAAAAAAAACGAATGAAATACCCTGTAAATAAATTGAATGTCAAGTTGGAAGCTGCCAGTGTAATGCACCCTGGGTTCCTCAGGGGGGCACTCACGCCCTTCTTACAATGCTCACCCGTGACAGAGGACCTGGTTTACCCAGTCAGAATGTTAAAGGAGTGGGCAGAGGTCACCTCTGTGAATTCCTGGGGAGGACAGACCTTACCCGAGGCCTTGATCTTACTCCTAAGGGGCATTTCCTCAGGAGGCAGTGTAGCATGACTCCCATGGCACTGAATAGGGCCTCCGAGGAGGCACAGGCTCAAAGCCTGGGTCTGCCATTTACCAGCCATGGAATCCTGGGCAAGTAACTTCACCTTTTTGTCTGTTTCCCTCACCTGTAAAACGGGGGTAATAAGAGCATGAAAATTATACGGCTGGGCCAGGTGCGGTGGCTCCCACTTATAATCCCAGCACTTTGGGAGGCCAAGGCAGGCAGATCACTTGAGCTCAGGACATCGGGACCGGTCTGGGCAACATGGCAAAACCCCAACTCTACTAAAAACACAAAAACCATCTGGCCGTGGTGGCGTGTGCCCGTGGTCCCACCGCTCAGGAGGCAGAGGCAAGAGAATCACTTGATCCCGGGAGTCAGTGAGTGAGATCACATTACACTCCAGCCTGGGCAAGAGTGAGACCTGCCTCAGAAATCAGTCAGGGCGAGGTAAAGGTTGAGTGCGTTACTCTGTGTTAAAATGTTTAGGTCTGGGCCTGACATACTACAAGGCACAACGCGTGTCCCTATCATTAATTGTGGGGTGGGGGTGTCACCAGGCATTACTGTGATTATCTGTTCTCACTGCTGTTCCTACTCATGCTGGTGTTCCGGGTCTAAGAAGGCAGTTATTAAGGACAATGTGACATCATAAAAGTCTGCAGACACGGGTCCCAGTCCCAGCTGTTCTACTGTGCCACTTGGGACCTTGAAGCCATCGTTCCTGCCCAGGTTCCCTTTTTCTCCATCTATAAAAAGGGGTCTGGGGTTAAATGAATGCAAGGTTTCCCAAACTTGGTTCAGTTCCCGACTACATCATCTGTGTACCATACAGGCACCGATTCTCTTGTTTTAATACACCTAATCAACTCACTTACACCTCATTTCTTAACTTACTTCAGAAGGAAATTTATTACCATCACAAATGGAAGAGCAGTATTACTTTCCATAACGGGAGTCTCCCGTACAAATACATAACAGACAGGCTGGGAGCAGTGGCTCATGCCTGTAATCTCAGCACTTTCAGAGGCCGAGGAGGGTGGATCATCTGAGGTTAGGAGATCGAGACCAGCCTGGCCAAGTTGGTGAAACCCCATCTTACTAAAAATACAAAATCTAGCCACGTATGATGGCAGGTGCCTGTAATCCCAGCTATCCAAGAGGCTGAGGCAGGAGAATTACTTGAACCTGGGAGGTAGAGGCTGCAGTGAGCTGAGATCATGCCACTGCACTCCAGCCTGGGCAACAGTAAGACTCCATCTCAGGAAAAAAAACAAAAAAAAAAAAACAATACCAAACACATAAATAATAGAAGGTTATTTTTGATACAAGACAGAGGCTGCCCTGTTGCAGGCTCTATGTGTGAAGGCTGCTGTTTATCCGTCTGTTGAAGAGAGATCATCTCAATTGCTAAGGTGTTAACGACCTGCTAGCACCAAACTGAGACTTTCTCTGTGATGTTGTCAAAACGTATGAAAGAGAATTAGAGGGAAACTTCTTCACAATGTGAGTACCTTCTGAATGCCCTGCCAGCGTCCCAGTCTCCTACATGGATACCCCAGATCTTGGGGAAAGCTGGCCAGCTGTCCTCACCCTACAGCCAGGCTCTAAGTAAGTGCTGCAAAGAGACTGGACAAGCGTCAGATGTGCTTCTACCTGGGGGAGTATCCAGCCCACTCTCCTGCTCAGAGGCAGAGTGTACACAGGATAGGGCTCAGAGAGTGCCTGGGGTAAAGCTACACTAAAGACCAAAAGGTCGGGCCCGGGCCCTCGCCTACCTCCTTCTCAGTTTCGGAATACTCCTTGAGCCTCTCCACCGCCACAATGTTGGTTTCCATCTCAGATGACATCCGGACCAGCCAGTTCAAGTACGTGGTGACCTGCAAGTGGAAGAGTCACATGACATTTCTAGAGTGTGCAGGTGGACTTTATTTTCCTTTTTCCTTTTTTTTTTTTCACTGAGATAACAGGAAACAAATTATTTCCAATAAGATTGAATTATGGGAGGCCAAGGAGGACAGGTCACCTGAAGTCACGAGTTTGAGACCAGCCTGGCCAACATGGTGAACACCGTCCCTACTAAAAATACAAAAATTAGCCGGGTGTGGTGATGCACACCTCTAATCTCTGCTACTCAGGGGGCCGAGGCAGGAGAATCACTTGAACCTGGAAGGTGGAGGTTGCAGTGAGGTGAGATCACACCACTGCACTCCAGCCTGGGTGACAGAGTAAGACTCTGTCTCAAAAAAAACAAAACAAACAAACAAAAAAAAACAGTTATGAATTATGAAACATTCAGGTAAGCAAGGTACAGAAAAAATGAGCAACCCCAGGTATAGCCATCACTCAGGCCTGCCACACTGCCTCCTCCTAAGGATGTATCATGTTTCCAAAATAACCCAAGGGCCACATAAGTAATCAGAAAGAAAACTGGAAAATACTTTGAGCCAGGTGACAATATGAAAACACAATGTATCACCATTTGAGAGATGCAGTAAAGCAGTGCTTAGAGGGAAATTCATAGTTTTAAAAGCATTCCCCTAATAGATGGAAGTATCCTCTTGGGCGACCAAGGAGTATCTTTGAGTGATGGGGCAAATCCTGGCTATAGGCCAAATTCCTCTCCTGCTCTAGTTGGTCACCAGGCACCGTACCCACTCCTCAAACTCCATGCCTCTCACTTGCCTCTCCCCAATTCCTGCTGGAGTTGGAATCCAAAGCAAAGGACAACTGACTCCCCTATTAACAGACATTAATGACCCAGCCGAGAGCATCCCCTCTTACCTGCAACGAGTAAGACACGGAGAGACCCACCAAACCAGCGCTGAGGCTGTGCCTGGAGATCACCGCGAACAGGGCGGCGAACAGGACAATGCAGTTGCCCACACACTCCAGCCGCACGGCCAGCCACCTGTCGAAGAACACAGGCAGACAGATAGGCACAGAGTCAGCTTTTCAGAGACTTGGCTTCCAGCTCTTGGGGACAGAAGGGGACTCTGCTAACTCAAGTAACTCCGCAATACTTCCACAGACAGGCCTTCTTGGCACTGCTTTTTCAAAACATGCATAATGGGCACAGGGCAGGGAGGACGGATGATGCCAGTAAATCCTCATTAATCTGGCTGACCCATGGATTAAAACAGAGCTCTCCAGAGGCAATCTTCTCTGGAATCTGAAGCTTGCCTTTTTAAGAACCAACTTTTCCTCATTGAAGCCTTTAAAATACATATATATAGGCCGGGCGCGGGGGCTCGAGCCTGTGATCCCAGCACTTTGGCAGGCCAAAGTAGGTGGATCACTTAGGTCAGGAGCTTGAGACCAGCCTGGCCTACATGGCAAAACCCCGTCCCTAATAAAAATACAAAAGTTAGCTGGGCGTGGTGGCACACGCCTGTGATCTCAGCGATCTCAGCTACTCGGGAGGCTGAGGTGGAAGAATTACTTGAATCTGGGAGGGTGAAGGAACAGTGAGCCCAGATCATGCCACTGCACTCCAGACTGGGCAAAAGAGTGAGACCCTGTCTCAATATATATATATATATTTTATATATATATGCATTAACCCAAAAAAGAAAAAAAAAAAAGACATCCTAGAAATTCCTAAATACTAAGACGACAAAGACATCAACTATTAGAGGCACCAGTGATTTAAAATAACCATCACCGTTTCTCAGCCTTTGGGTTAAGAACAAGTATAAAATAACAGTCTCTTCTCACGAGACAGATCTGAGGGGCATGAAAAACACAATACTACGATTAAACATCATTGTAACGTTCCCAAAGCCAGACTAGCCTTCATTTCAAAATGTTAAAATACACTTTTTTTTTTTTTGAGATGGAGTTTCACTCTTGTCGCTCAAGCTGGAGTGTAATGATGCAATCTCGGCTCACTGCAACCTCCGCCTCCCAGGTTGAAGTGATTCTCCTGCCTCAGCCTCCCGAGTAGCAGGGATTACAGGCATGCACTACCACGCCAGGCTGATTTTGTATTTTCAGTAGAAATGAGGTTTTTCTATTTGGTCCAGGCTGGTCTGGAATTCCTAACCTCAGGTGATCCGCCCACCTCGGGCTCCCAAAGTGCTGGGATTACAGGCATGAGCCACCACGCCCAGACTGAAACATACTATTTAACCCTATAAAACATAAACAGAAATCTTGTTTTTTATTGTTTTGTTTTTTGAGATGGGGTCTTGCTCTTTCAACCAGGCTGGAGTGTGGATGACATGATCACATCTCACTGCAGCCTCAACCTTCCAGGTTCAAGTGATCCTCCTGTCTCAGCCTCCTGAGTAGCTAGGATTAGAGGCCCATGCCACCACACCTGGCTAAATTTTTTTTTTTTTTTTTTTTTAAAGATATAGTCTACCCACAGTGCCCAGGCCAGTCTCAAACTCCTGGGCTCAAGCGACCCTTCTGCCTTGGCCTCCCAAAGTGCTGGGATTACAGGCATGAGCCAATGTGCCCGGCCATCTTATTTGTTTAAAGCTAGGTTTCATGTGATATTATGTGGCATTGGAACTATTTTATTTTACTTTTTATTTTACATTTTATTTTACTTTTTACTTTACATTTTATTTTATTCTACTCTTCTATTTTATTCTATTCTATCCATTTTGAAATGGAGTTTCGCTCTTGTTGCCCAGGCTCTTGTGAGCCAAGAGTGCAAGGGCACTGTCTGCGCTCACTGCAACCTCTGCCTCCTGGGCTCAAGTGATTCTCCTGCCTCCGCCTCCTGAGTAGCTGGAATTACAGGCACTCATCACCAGGCCCGGCTTTTTTGTATTTTTAGTAGAGACAGGGCCTCGCCATGTTGGCCAGGCTGGTCTCGAACTCCTGACCTCTGGTGATCCACCCACCTTGGCCTCCCAAAGTGCTGGGATTACAGGCGTGAGCCACTGTGCCTGGCCATCTTATTTGTTTAAAAGGTATGATATCATATAGCACTAGAGCTAATATTCTAATTTTCTAAAATATAAACCTTTCTAGGAAGACGGGGTGTTGATCTTTTCTTCACTGCAGCGCTTATGAACCATGTGACTGATCCTCCTACCCTGACAGACACAGCTGGACTGTGAGAAACCCCTCCCTAAAAATTGTGCAAGGGAAGTCAAGGTCTCTTGTCATTCAGCGTTGGCCTGCCCAGACTTACACTATGGTGTTAGGGTGTGGTGAGATGGGCTGATGGTTATGGGTCACCTCTGGGGTGCTGCTCCTGCTTCATAAGAGTCTATAAGGATGCAAATGGGTAAGAGGGATTCTATTTCAGGGGTAAGTCAGAAACTTCTCTAAATTCAGCAGATAATTAGCAAACTTCTGCCTCCTTTGGACTGACGGTATTATCTGTGATCCACAAGAGGTCAATCCCTCACCCCTTCTCCTTTTTTTTTCCTGAGACAGGGTCTCACTGTGCCACCCAGGCTGGAGTGCAGTGGTACAATCTTAGCTCTTCAAACTCCTGGGCTCAAATGAGCCTCCAGCCTCTCGAGAAGCTGGGACTACAGGCACACACCACCATCACAGACTCCTTCCCCCCCTACCCCTTAGAGAGAAAGATGGGAGTCTTGCTATGTTGCCCAGGCTGGCCTTAAATCCCTAGCCTCAAGGGATCCTCCTGCCTCGGACCCCAAAGTACTGGGATTATAGGCATGAGCCATGACATCTGGCCCACAAGATGACAATCTCATATGGTTCAGCTTAATATTAGTAAATTGCTTCTGACACACTTCATCCAGGGGTGCATGACCCCCAGACAGAAACAGCAATGTGAAGACACTCAATAGCAGAGCCTGCCGCTGACAATCTTCAAGCCTCTCCATCCTTTCTGCCAAGGCCCAGATTTGCCTTTTCACCCAGCCCAAGGTGTGAGGAAGAGATCCAGGCAAAGGAGCAAGGTGCTCAGGTACCTCCTTCGCCCCCTCCTGCAGGTCCTGCCATGCCCACCTGTTGGCCACGATGCTGGGGTAATAGGCCTTCTGGTTCTCGTCCACCTTCAGATCACTCTGGCGGATGAAGCGTTCCTGCTCCTCGAAGGCCCGAATAACGCTGACCCCCAGCAAGGTCTCGTTGAAATGGGAATAGACGGGGGAGCGGCTGACCGACTCGAGGCGCTTCAGCTGCCGGGAGGTGGCCACGTAGAACCTCTAGGGTAGAAAACGGACGCAGGGAGTTGATCAAAGTTCCTTCATCCATCCTCCCAGGGCTGAGCTGGAGAAAGTCTAGACAGAACCGACACCTCCAGGAGGCACCATGTCGGAGCCGGGCTGCTCTCACAGGGGTGTCCACTCACCTGGTGAGCCACAGGTACCGCCCGCCAATGATCAGGACAGTGACAATAAGAGCTCAAGCCTGTGCAAAGCCCACAGTCCCAGGCATTGTTCTTAGCATTTTAACAAACATCAGTTCATTCAATCCTCACAAAAAAACCTATGAGGTGCTCATTCCTATAGATGATGGGTAAACTAAGGCACAAAGAAACTAGTTTAATCTTCTCCCCAAGGTCGCCATGTTTCGCCATGTGGCTAGCAAGGCGCAGAGCTGTGATTCAAACCCAGACTAAATGGGCTGAAGGTGCTACCCTCTACCCTGCACGGCCTCTCTGAAGCCTTTAACCTCTAGTGTTTTCTGGAACCAGCAGTGTGGTTTTAGCACAGGCTTTAGGTCAACCAGACATCAGTTCAAATCCAGACTCAACTACTGATTGGCTAACACTCTGTTTCTCTAAGCCTCAGTTTCCTTATCTGTAAAATGGGAACGATGACGGTTGCTCAGTCCAGTGTGGTGGCTCACACTTGTAATACCCACACTTCGGGAGGGCGAGGGGGGTGATCACTTGAAGCCAGGAGTTTGAGACCAGCCCAGGCACATGGCAAAACACCATCTCTACAAAAATAGAAAATTATTTAAAAAAAAAAAAATCAGGGCTTACTTCACAGGGTAATTTTAAGGGTGACACATAAGAATTAGACAGTCATACTTCTGATGTAAATTGGCACGTAAACATTACTCCAGAAATCATACAGACATACATGATGTCAGTCAGCACAGTGCCCGGTCATATTAGGGTGAACCGTAAGATACGGCTGTTTCTGCAGATAAGAAATGAGTATTAGCAATTTCACATAGTTGGACCTAACAGGAAGCACTCTATTCCATGGTGACTACTGTTATCATTAAGTGACAGAATTCTGCCTGCTGATCACAGGCCCTCAAGAGTGACTGGCCCTGTAATGGCTGGTGCCAGCACTCTCAGCCCAGCTGAGATGCCCACGAGGGTAAGGCAAATCTCATCACCTGCCTCCATCGATGGCCTCCCAATGCTCTTAGAGGTGCCAACCATGCTTCCCCCACTCACCTGGTCCTGTAACTCCCCCCTCCTTCCCTACACGAAGGCTGCCTGCCTCCACCACTGTCTCTGTCCCTTCTGGGCCATTCCTCATCACCCAGCAGATGAGAGCACAAATGTCACTTCCTGGCGGAGCCCCTCCCATCCTCCAACACGGGCACCATCTCCAGACTCAGTGTACCAGTTCCTGGGCTGCGATGACACATTTCACCAGCAGCTCCACCCACCTGGTGGGCAGACGCCTCATCTGCTCTGCCCGCCCCAACCTGGGCATTCTGCCAGTGCCAGGCACCAAGAGCCACCTGCTGAGTCTCGTTAGATTCAGAACAAAAGCCAGCACCCTGTCGAAGTTTTGAGGAGCTGCGGAACAGATGCTGGGCTGGTGGTGTGAGGACACGTGTGCTCTCCTAGCCTAGGAGCTACAGAGCAGATGCTGGGCTAGTGGTATGAGGACACGTGTGCTCTCCTAGTCTAGGAGCTGCGGAACAGATGCTAGGCTGGTGGTTTGAGGACACGTGTGCTCTCCTAGTCTAGGAGCTGCGGAACAGATGCTGGGCTGGTGGTGTGAGGACACGTGTGCTCTCCTAGCCCAGGCTTCCTCATCTATGCAAAAGAAACTGTTGAGTATGGGGTTTCCAATTCCCAAAGGCACCTGCAATTGCTTATCAACAGCAGAGCTGGGAAAACTAAGGAAGGCTGCTAGGAACTTAGCCTCACTGCCTCCTGCCCTGGGCCAGATGTATTGGGCCACTTTGGGGCAGAGTCCAACAGAGAGCATCAATAGCAGCAGGGGGCTTTTACGAGGCCTCTGTGGTTGGCAGCTTCCTTCTGGGTGGCAGCATGGGTGTGAACTGGAACCCACAGATGGAGAGCCTTCTGGGGCCCCAGAAACTCTGTAAGTGAACCCAGGCACCACACAACCCAGACACTCTCAAAACAGCTGTTCTGCCAATCCCTGGAATGCAGATCAGATATCATTTCTCCTCCAGCTGTTCCCACCCTCCCCACCATGAAATCCAGACCCCTCTGCACAGCTGAAGGCCCAGGTGATCTGCCCCCATCTTACCCTGGACCACCCTTCTTCCTCTCTCACCAGCTCTCTTTCTCAATAGTCCAGATGCAAGTTGCCCTGAAGTGTGTTACCTGTTCAATTTCCTCCACTTACCTCTGCCTCTGAACCTGATTTACTAGAAAAATCTAATCTGAGACAGATATTTGTTCAGGAATGATCTGATTTTTTTTTTTTTTTTTTTTTTTTATATAGACTGGAGACAGAGTCTCGTTCTATCACCCAGGCTGGAGTGCAGTGGCATGATCTCAGCTCACTGCAATGTCTGCCTCCCGGGTTCAACCATTCTCCTGCCTCAGCCTCCCAAGTAGCTGAAATTGCAGATGCCTGCCACCACATCCGGCTCATTTTTGTATTTTCAGTAGAGACAGAGTTTTACCATGTTGGCCATGCTGGTTTCAAACTCCTGACCTCAGGTGATCCACCTGCCCTATCGATTTGACGTTTTTTTTTTTTTTTTGAGACAACTTGCTCTGTCACTAAGGCTGAAGTGCAGTGACACAACCTTAACTCACTGCAACCTCCGCCTCCCAGGCTCAAGAGACCCTTCCACCTCAGCCTCCCAAGCAGCTGGGACTACCTGCTACCACACCCAACTAATTTTTGTATTTTCTATAGAGACCAGGTTTTCCCATGTTGTCCAGGCTGGTCTTGAACTTTTGGGCCCAAGTGATCCTCCCGCCTCAGCCTCCCAAACTGCTGGAATTACAGGCATGAGCCACTGCACCCGGCCGAACTTCATATAAAGGAAATCTCACAGGACACACTCTTTTGTGTCTGGCTTCTTTTCAGCACTGTAATATCTATGAGATAAACCCAAATGATTTTGTATATGAGCATTTCATTGCTTTTTACTACTCAGTCATAAAATATATAATTATATCACAATTTATTTCTCCACGGTCCTGTTAATGGACATTTGAGTTGTTTCCAGTTTGCGGCAATCATCAATCTAGATGCCAAGAACATTCTAAGCACTGCTTTTTCTCTCTTTATCCCTCTTTTTTTTTTTTTTTTTTTTTCCATATACACTTAGGAACGAGATTGCCTGATGAGGGTAAATGTACATTTAGCCAAAAGCGATTAAAAATTAATTATCCGATGATCTCAACCCTTAAAAAGATAATGTTTTCATGTATCTGCCTCCCCTCCAGTCCTGCCCACACACGTCGTGCATTTCGTCTCAGTGATAATGACAGGGCACACACCACTTGGCCCTTTGCTGAAATCATTTCCTTTGTTGTTGAAAAATAAAATCCTTGGTGCTGCAATAACAGTGTCTTCTAATGACCCCTGCTCGAAATCACATCGCTCCATGGCGTGCCCAGGGTCCTGCTATTTGCAGATATTTAAGTTGCCTTCAACATCGAATTTGTCCTGTTTTGTTCTTCTCAAGTCTCAGGAAATTTTCCAGCTGGCGCATGAACACAGATAACATTTTTTGGTAAATGTAGAAAAAAAAAAAAGCTGGCAAAAATTTCAAGGGGAATAACGAGACTCTGGGAACTGGACCTACTCTCTCTGATTCCTTCACTGTTTGTTCTCATCAATCACTGGGCCAGTGTGGTGGGCCACAGGGGCCGGATGACTGAAGCAAGGCCTCCTGGTCGCCACCTGAACGGCTGTGCAGCCTGGTTTGAGACACGGCGAACCTCAGGGATTCTTACTCTTATTTTGCGTTGCGGCTGAAATTTTCTCATCTAAACAACCCATCCTTACTGGCAATTGTGCTGCAGTTAATCCTTCAGGGGTAAGTAACGGCACAGTTTTGGAATCAGACCAACTTGAGTTCGCACTCTCAGCTCTTCCATTGAAAACATCTATCCTGTGGTACCCTAAGAAACCATGTGTTCAAAGAACAAATAACAGCTTCCGCAGAAGGGATGAAGCACAGACTGACTGCCTACACAATTTCCCCTTCTTTCCCAACAGAAACTTCTTTAGCTTTTTTTTTTTTTTTTTTTTTTTTGAGACAGTCTCACTCTGTGGCCCAGGCTGGAGTGCACTGGTGTGATCTCTGTTCACTGCAACCTCTGCCTCCCGGGTTCAAGTGGTTCTCCTGTCTCAGCCTTCTGAGTAGCTGGGACTACAGAAGCACACCACCATACCTGGCTAAGTTTTATATTTTTAGTAGAGACTGGGTTTCACCATATTAATTAGGCTGGTCTCCAACTCCTGACCTCAGGTGGTCCACCCACCTCGGCTTCCCAAAGGACTATGATTACAAGTGTGACCCACCACACCCGGCCCCAACAGAAACTTCTTCTTGGGAAGTGCAATGTGCCCAGGTGAAACACGGCACTTCCCAGGGTCCCTTGTGATAGTGGCATATTGTTATAACTGTTCCATTATTGTACATTATTACTATTAAGCTCTTTCTATGCCAAATTTATAAATTTAAATTTATCACAGGTATGTGTGTACAGGAAACAGCGTATGTATGATTCAGTACTATGTGCAGTTTCAGGCATCCATTGGGGGGGTCTTAGAATGTGTGCCTGCAGATAAGGGGTGGTGCTGATTCAGCACCCATACACTCCCTTGCCATGCTTCCCCTCCTCAGACTTGCTGACTGAAATATAGATATAATGGCTGGAGACCCAGCAGCCATCTTGGGCCATGAGGCCAACTGAAGAATGAAGAACTTGTAAAAATAGGTAACATTTTTAAAATTTTTAAATAAAAGCAGGTATATGGGATCTTAAGCTCATTAAGATGCCATACCAGCCCTGAACAGCCTACCTCTAAATTTCTATTATGACAGAGCAAAAGAAACACCTATCTTGCTTAAGCTCCTATTATTCATGTTTCCACTATCTGTAGGAGGCTTAGGGACTAAACAATTTTATACTTGATGGAATTTTAGGCCAGGTGCAGTGGCTCACGCCTATAATCCCAATACTTTGGGAGGTTGAGGTGGGTGGATCACCTGAGGTCAGAAGTTTTCAGCTTGGTCAACATTCATGAAACCCCATCTCTACTAAAAATACAAAAATTAGCCAGGCATGGTGGTGCGCACCTGTAGTCCCAGCTGCTCGGGAGGCTGAGGCAGGGGAATCACTTGAACCAGAAGGGAGAGCCTGAAGTGAGTCAAGATTGTACCATCTCAAAAAGAGAAAAAAAAAGAAATTTCAATAATAAAGTTGTCTTTATAGCTATAGGTTTTGTTTCCTTTTTAAATTGACAGATGGAAAAATAAAACTTAGAAAAAAAGTGGATTTGACAAAAAAAGTGCATTTGGTTATTGTGAGCAAAAACACAATCAATTTAGGTATTAGAAACTGACAAAAACAAATCTACAAGCTTCAAAAGCACCACACTGGAGACATGGTGAGATAAGACGAGGCTTTAGGTGACACTGGTGTGTAACACACAGTAGGGCTGGTCCCGAACATTAAGACCCCCACCTCCTACCTGGACGAAGAAGTAGATGAGGCCGAGGGGCGGGATGATGACGGCGGCAATGGGTGTGGCCAGCAGGATAATGATGCAGGCGCCAATGACGTTGAACAGGGAGCCCATGAACATCTTGATGACCTGCGGGATCATGGAGTCCACCGTGTCCAGCTCCTTGGAGAAGCGGTTCACCAGGTTCCCGCTGGGGGTCCGCTCAAAGAAGCTCATGGGTGACCGCAAGACGTTGTCCAGCAGGTTCAGGTGCAGACGGCGGGAAGCGAAGATCCCCCCGATGGACACAGCCATGGAGTAGCCAAACACAGCGATCCCTGCAGACACTTGGAGTTAAACTCCACAATGCGGAGAGAGGCTGAGTGCCAGCCAGACACTGCAGGGAGGAGTGGCCGTGTGCACGAGGCAGGCCTGACTCCGAACTTCTAATAGTGATGATGATGGCCAGGCACAGTGGCCCACGCCTGTAATCCCACCACTGTGGGAGGCTGAGGTGGACAGATCACTTAAGGTCAGGAGTTTGACACCAGCCTGGCCAAGACAGTAAAACCCCATCTCTACTAAAAATACAAAAATTAGCCAGGCGTGGTGGCGGGTGCCTGTCATCCCAGCTGCCCAGGAGGCTGAGGCAAGGGAATTACTTAAATCCAGGAGGTGGAGGTCGCAGTGAGCAGAGATTATGCCACTGCACTCCAACATGGGGGACAGAGTGACACACTGTCTCAAAAATAATGATGATGATGATGATAGCGGCTATTTTCAGAGGGCACTTCCTATGTGCTAAGCACTGTACTGGGTTTCGTATGTAACTACTTTGTATGGTGACTCCGAATAATTTCTATTACTACCCAATTTACAGATGAGAAAACTGAAGTCGAGATAGGTGAATGCCTTTGCCTGTATTATACTGTGGCTATCAGAAACAGAACTGGGATTTTAATCCAGACAGCCTGCTTTTAATCCACAGGGCATACTCCTCTGGAACAAGGTCCCAAACCCCCAGGCCACAGATAGGCACCAGTCCATGACCTGTTAGGTAATCGGGCCACAGAGCAGGAGGGTGCAGTGGGCAAGTGAGCGTCACCGCCCGAGCTCCGCCCCCTGTCAGCTCAGCGGTGGCATTAGATCCTCAGCAGCGCAAACCCTACTGTGAACTGCGCGTGCAAGGGACCTAGGTTGTGCGCTCCTGATGGGAATCTAATGCCTGAGGATCTAAGGTGAAACAGTTTCATCTCAAAATCATCCCCCGCCCTTTCCATGAAACCGGTCTCTAGGGTCAAAAAAGCCCGGGGATCACTGCGCTAGAACAATGCTATCTAAAGTAATTTTCTGCAATGATGGAAATGTTCTATGCCTCCTGAGTAGCAGGGATTACAGGCATGGGCTACCATGCCCAGCACATTTTTGTATTTTTTGTAGAAACAAGGTTTTGCCATGTTGCCCAGGCTGGTCTCGAACCCCTGGACTAAGAAATCTACCCGCCCTGGCCTCCCAAAGTGCTGGGATTACAGGTGTGAGCTACTGCACCCAGGCTTTATTTAATTTTAATAGTTGAAACTGAAATAGCCACCTGTGCCTTGTGACTACCGCACCAGACAGTAGAGCTCTAGAAGAGGCACTGATGCTGTGTGAGTTCAGGTAATACCACACTGTCTCTGTTCTCTACCTTCCCTCAATTATAATTTGTAGGCCACAGTCCTTTGCCCTAATGGCAAGGGAAGGGGAGGTTAGGGATTGAGAGACTCAGGGAATCCATGTCTGCTCTGCTACTGGTGGGTTTTCCAAAGCCATCTCCTGGACATCCTGGTGGTTCTCTCAAACAACCCACAGGAGGGCACTGCGCATTCCAGAGCAGCCACTTCCTAGGAAGAAAGAGGCTTCCATCTTGGCCTCTTTAATTAGGAAGAGACCGCAGAGGCAGGGGCTCCAATGATAGGCTCTGGAGTCAATGGTGCCAAACCCCACCTCTGCCACTTACCAGCTATGGGACCTCCTACAGGTCACTCAATCTCTCAGTTTTCTCATCCATAAAACAGGACAATGACACTGACCTCGGAGCACTGTGGAATGTAATGTCCCCACCTGGCAATGTGCCTGGCATACAGGAAGCACTCAAATCTGTGAAGCCTATGCATTTACTGTGTATATATTGTATGGAACACACATGATATTTACAAACACGGCTCACATACTGCACAGCACAGTGGTTAACAGCGTGAGCTCCTGAGCCAAACTGCCTTGTTCTATGCCAATGCCACCATGTATTAGCTGTGTGACTTTTGGCAAATCACTCAACCTCTCTGGACCTCAATTTCTACATCTCCAAAATGGCGGAAATATTAACTCCTACCTCACAGGACTGCTGCAAGGATAAAATAAGCAAAAACACATAGAAGTGTTTAGAACTGAGCCAAGTACCAAATAAATGATCCATCAGCACCAGCTGTTATAATCAACCCTGCTGCGTTTGAGGACTCCCACAGGACCACACAGAACGGTACAGAGCAGGGTTTCTTTTCTTTTTTGTTTTTGTTTTTTTGTTTTTTGAGACAGGGTCTTGCTCTGTCGCCCAGGCTGGGCTGCAGTGGTGCAATCATAGGTGGAACTACAGGCTCAAACTCCTGGCCTCAAGCAATCCTCTCACCTCAGCCACCAAAGCAGCCGAGACCGCAGGCGCAGAGCACCATGTGTAGCTATAGATTATTTTGTTTACCTATTTTTTCTAGAGGCAGGGTCTCACTATGTTGTCCAGGCTGGTCTCAAACATCTGGCCTCAAGTGATCCTCTGACCTCAGCTTCCCAAAGCGCAGGATTCTAGGTGTGAGCCTCCATGCCTGGCCAACAGCAGGGTTTCTCAATCTTGTGACAACCAAAAGCAACTCCAGGTATTGTCAAACATTCCCTGCCCATAATTGGGAATTACTAGGATGAACCAATTTCCACCCAGGCCCAGCAGGCCACAGAACACAAGTGAGACCTCACGGAAGCTCTGCCACCTGAAAGAGCAAACAGGGTAGGGGGGCCCTCCCAACTCGCAGTGCTTCCAGTGGCGTCTGTTCTCAACTGTCCTCATCTGTAAAATGGGCACAAAGGAGCACTCCTGTCTACCACCAAGCACCACGTGAACAAAGCACTCAAACACTCACTCTGCAAATCTTTGAGTGTCTACTAGCTGACAGCTACTGTTCCTCTTGGTTTGGCCTGGTCTGGGGTCCCACAAAACCCTGAGGACTCTAAGGATCCAATTCTATAATCAGACAAGACCACCACAGGGGTTCAAATCGAGCGGGGTGGGAGATGGTGCCACCCACCTTGGGAAATGCCCAGGGCTCCATAGACGCTCAGCCGGACTTTCGTGTGCTCCTGGGTCCCGTTGACGATGGGGTCGTCAGTCCAGAGGCTGAGCCAATAGTTGGAAGCCAGCGAAGCCACGTGGTTACACATGAAAAGGAAGATGCTGAGAAAGGAGACGAAGAGTCCGATGGCCTTCATGTAGTCCCAGTACACAGAGAGCTTGACCTGAGACCATGGGGAATAAGGCAGCTTAGCACATGCAGCACCGGCCCAGCTGCACAAGGCCAGGGCTTCACCAGCACTGCGCCACCCAGCTGCCTGCCTTTGCTCCCACCTGGAACACCCTCCCCTTTAGCTATTCGACAACATTAGCAGTAAACAAAGTCCAGGGCCAGGTGCGATGGCTCATGCCTGTAACCCCAGCACTTTGTGAGGCCGAGGCAGGTGGATCGACTGAGGTCGGTGGATCGACTGAGGTCAGGAATTGGAGACCAGCCTGGCCAATATGATGAAACTCTGCCTCTACTAAAAATATACAAAATTAGCCAGGTTTGGTGACGGGCACCTGTAATCCCAGCTAACTGGGAGGCCGAGGCAGGACAATCACTTGAACACAGGAGGCAGAGGTTATAGCAGTGAGGCAAGATTGCCCCACTGTACTCCAGCCTGGGCGACAGAGTGACACTCCACCTCGAAAACAACAACAACAAAAACAAACTGGAGGTCTCTGCCATCACGCACGGAGCTTCCAGTCGCATGGTGAGATAGGCTCCCGTCAAATCATCCCAGATAAATGCATCTTCACAGAGAAGGGCTGCAAACAGCACACGATTCCAGTTTTTTCCACGTAAAGAGTTAAACCAAAGCCGGGTGTGGTGGCTCACACCTGTAATCCCAGCACTTTGGGAGGCAGATGCAGGTGGATCACCTGAGGTCAGGAGTCCGAGAGCAGCCTGGCCAGCATGGTGAAACCTTGTCTCTACAAAAATACAAAAATTATTTGGGTATGGGGGCATGCACCTGTAGTCCCAGCTACTCTGGAGGCTGAGGCACAAGAATCGCTTGAACCTGGGAGGTGGAGGTTGCAGCAAGCCATAAATGCACCCAGCCTGGGTGACAGAGGAAGACTCTGTCGCCAGGATTTAAAAAAAAAAAAAAAAAGTTAAAACCAGCTGAAGCAGCACTTTCAAAGGCCCTGAGGTAGGAGGGAACGAAGCACATCTGGGGAACTGAGAGAAGGCACGGGTGGCTGGAGCCAGGAGATCATGGGGCAGCAAGGAGCAAGAGGCTGGAGAAAACAGTCACAGCCGGCCCACACATGGCATGGGAGACTTGGGTCAGGATTCCAACTTCTATGCCAAGACTGACAGAAAGCAGAAGCCATCCATGAGCTTTAAGCAATGTGTGACATACTGCCCAGCAACCGAGGCCAGTGTCACCTACGCATCACAACTGGGCCAGCCTCCCCCAGCTCCTTTCATTCTGAGCACAGAATACCATCTCACCCATCTTCCCAGTGCCCAGTTCCCTCCAGGAGACGAAGCCCGGAGTTTCTTTTCCTAGTGTATTCCCTTAACCAATCCGTCTAGCTGCCTGACATGAGAGACGGCAACCTGCCCTAGGCCAGCCCCTTCCTAAACCGCCTGGCTTAGTTTCAAGAAACTCCAGGTATCTTTACCCGTGTCTGTGCTCATTGTGATTTCAAGCTTTTCATGCGAATTTTGAGTCATAAAAATCACCTGGACTGGGAACGGTGGCTCACACTTATAATTCCAGCACTTTGGGAGGCCAAGGCAAGAGAATTGCTTGATCCCAGGAGTTTGAGACCAGCCTGGGAAACACAGTCAGACCCTGTCTCTACAAAAAAAATTTAAATTAGTTAGGCATGGTGGGCCATGCCTACTCAGGAGGCTGAGCTAGGAGGACCACTTGAACGCAGAAGCTTCAGGCTGCAGTGAGCTATGGTCACTCCACTGCACTCCAGCCTGAGCAACACAGCAAGGCCCTGCCCCCCACCAAAACAAAACAAAAATCATCTGACCCTAAGGTCTAGCTGAAAGGTAACAGGTGAAAGATAACAGGTCTGATGTGGAACTAACTAATTGCTGCCTTTTGAGTTTTCCAGTCTCCATTCTGGGAAATGAAATATGTGGGAGAGGAGACAGGTCATAATGAAGAATGTGTTTATTTCACCAGGTGGCTTCATCACGCAGCCAAGCTGCCTGTTGTCCCTGAAATTAGCCTGGAGAGTTCGGGAACCCCTTTCTCATGAGCAGTGGAGTATGGTGGGTTCGGGGGTCCGAAATGACAAGTGTGTGGCCAGCTGTGGTGGCTCATGCCGGTAATCCCAGTACTTTGGGACGCCAAGGCAGGCAGATCACTTGAGCCCAGGAGTTCAAGACCAGCCTGGGCAAAGGGGTGAAATTCAGCTCTACAAAAAAATAAAAACATTAGTCAAGTGTGGTGGTGCACACCTGAACTCCCAGCTACTTGGGAGGCTGAGGTGGGAGAATCACTTGAATCTGGGAGGTAGAGGCTGCAGTGAGCCATGATAGTGCCACTATACTCCATCCTGGGTGACGAAGTCAGACCTTGTCAGAGGGAAAAAAAAAAAAAAATTTAATTAAAAAAAACAAAAACAAGAAAGAAACGATGAGCGTGTTGTGCCCGGCTCCACTCTTGGTCCAGCTTTGACAAGTTACAAGCCCCCTGGCTTTGGTGTCCCTTGAATATAAAATTGGAGTTAAATGAGGATTACAGGGCCTCACATCTCTGCCCCTTCCTTCCCATATCCTGCCATTTGGGTAATTTCTCTGGCTTCCTGGAGGGTCACTAAGGGTAGGACAAAAGAGGAGAGAGGTCATAACACCAGTTATCTCTACCCCCCGCCATGGTCCTACCTGTGATGACAAGTTAAGGAAGAAACCAGGAACAGAAAGTCCTGGGAAGCTCTGGACACATCCGGACGGATCTAAGAGAAAGTGTCCCAGCCTCACTCCTCCGCTACCACCTTTCATGGGTTTTTTGTTTTTCTTTATCTGAATGCTTTTTTACCTATTTTTAAAATTCCATTCACTATATTTTTAAAAACACAACCACATTTATTTTTAAAAATAAACTCTGGATCACTACCATAAATAGAGAATTATTAACACTTGCCCAAAACAGATGATCTTTTAAAAAATAATAATAAAATAAAACAGCTCGAAACCTGCTTTCCTTGTTACAAAGAGAGGCTAGTGGTTGTTAGGTACCGAAGCCAGGCTATGACCCAACTGAGACTTTCTCAGGGACATAATCATAAGGAACAAATGACAAATAAAAAACAGGCTGGGAGCAGTGGCTCACACCTGTAATCCCAGCATTTTGGGAGGCCGAGGAGGGCAGATGATCCCAGGAGTTCAAGATGAGCCTAGACAACATGGCAAAACCCTGTCTCTACTAAAAATACAAAAATTAGCTGGGCATGGTAGCAAGTGTCTGCAATCCCATCTACTCAGGAGGCTAAGGCAGGAAAATTGCTTGAACCTGGGAGGCAGAGGTTGCAGTGAGCCAAGATTGCACCACTGCACTCTAGACTTGGTGAGAGACTCCGTCTCAAAAAAAAGAAATGAAACTAACATTCATTTGTCATTGAATGTGTCCGCACACAACCTGAAACCATCTCGGGCACAACGGACCTGCATGTTGCAGGAAGCCCTGATTTAAAGCATCCAGGTCGCCCATGGCTAATGTGAGCCCCTAAGCTGCTCAAGTCGATGTGGCAGTCAGTAGAGCAGAGACCAAGCACCAACCCCAGAGTCCGCCAGCGTTCAAATCCCAGTTCTGCTGCTTGCCAGCGGTGACCTTAGGTAAGTCACTAAACCTCTCTGGCCTCCGTTTCTGGTGCAGTAAATAACACCTTTACAGAAAGGCACTCTGCACAGTGGGTGCTCTGTCAACTCCAGCCACCACCATCACTGAAGGAGTGAATCTCACCTGCCCTGTCTGCGCCTTGTCAGCCTCCATCAACTTCCAGGTCTCCTCCTGCTTGGCCTCTGCTTTCTGCAGCTCTGCGGTGCTGTTGTGGCACCTGCTGATGTCCCCACTGTAGGAGGAGGAGCTGCTGAGCTGCCTGGAGAAGCAAAGCACAGGGGTGTCAACAGCACGGATGCTTTGGGCAGGGTCGGGGGGCTCCCTGCTCGGGCTGCTTTTTACATCTGAACCATGGTGTAAGAGATGGAATGTTCCCACAGGCACACATGTAAACATATCTATAAACATGTGCACATGTGCAAGCCCCCCCCCACCATGTCATTCCCCAGGGTAATAGGTCCCCAGAGAAAGAGACTGTCTCAGGCAGGAATGAGGCCTGTGGGAAATGCAATGTGTGATATCTCTGGGGTCTGCAAAAAGCCCACAACCACTAATACGCAAAAAAGTGTGTGCTTCCTTTTTTTTTTTTGAGATCAATTCTAATTGATCTCAAATAAAAGATAAAACAGAAACAGCTCGTCTTAGATCATCTTTCAAACATGAGGAAGATTCAAAATATAAAATATAATGAAAAAAATAGGGCAAAGTACCCAGCTCATTTAATTTTCTTGTTTTACAAAGGCGGTGGGGGTTGGGGTGGGATCTTGCCCTGGTTGCTCCTTCATCCAAGCGTGTTACTCAGAAAGCACTTTTTGGCTGGGTGCGGTGGCTCACACCTGTAATCCTAACACTTTGGGAGGCCAAGGAAGGCAGATCACTTAAGGCCATAGTTCAAGAACAGCCTGCCCAACATGGTGAAACCCCGTCTCTACTAAAAAGACAAAAATTAGCCAGGTGTGGTGGTAGGCACCGACAGAGTGAGACCCTGCCTAAAACAAAGGCACTTTTTGCATATCAGTGGTCATCAGTTTCATTGCAAACCCCCAGAGATCATCACAGATTGCGTTGCTCAATTTTGTGGTCAGTGACTGAGATGGCGCCACTGCACACTGCCCTCCAACCTGGGTAACAGAGGGAGACTCCTCCACCTCAAAAAAACAAAAAGAAAGCAATTATGGAGTCCATGCAAAACAGATGTGGCTCTTTGCCATGGAACTTTCTGTACCTTCCTCTACCTACTTATCTCCTGCACAGGGTTACAAGCTACCTGATGTCAAGAGCCCCATGTGAGTCATCCCTGCACCCCCAGAACTGTGTCCCCTGAAAACGCTTCCTGAAGGCCAAATAAACCTCCAGCACCTTCCCTCTTTGATCTAGGGCCTGGAGGTGGGTAACCTTTCCTTGCACATGAGATCCGTGCAAAGGTCTTTGGTTAAGACCAAGTGAGGTGGAAGTGGCCCTCAAATCCGAAAGCAAGAGTGAGTTTTCAGGGAGCGCCCAAGGGAAGAATCAGAACCAACTCTGGACGGAATCTAGAATTCAGGTGGGCAGCTGGGGCTTCCTGCTTCATGACCCAGGGCTTCGCAAATCCGTGCTAGCATCTCGGACGAACATCTTACATCCTCCTGTGCTCATGCCCTGTCTGGAGTCTCTCACTAGAGTGTAGGCTGTGAAAGATGACAGCAATGGCAGAAGTGACATATACCAATGAACAGTGCTAGGCCTCATCGTCTTTGCCCTCCTGACTCCCACAGCAACTGCAGGGCCACCATTCTTTCTCAAATCCCCGGGGTCCAGTGTGTTTAGGCTCTGACTTGTCCATTTTTATTGTTCTTTTGCTGGTTTTTTGTTTTTGTTTTTTTTAGATGGAGTCTTGCTCTGTTGCCCAGGCTGGAGTGCTGTGGCACAATCTCGGCTCAATGTAACCCCCACTTCACAGGTTCAAGCGATACTCACGCCTCAGCCACCCGAGTAGCTAGGATTACAGGCGCCTGCCACAACACCTGACTAATTTTTGTGCCTTTAGTAGAGACGGGGTTTCACCATGTTGGCCAGGCTCGTCTTGAACTCCCATCCTCAGGTGATCCACCTGCCTCAGCCTCCGAAAGTGCTGGGATTACAGGTGTGAGCCACCACGCCTCGCCAACTTAGCCAATTTTTAAAAGCTGGTATGGTTAACATACTGCATATGCTGTAAATCCCCTGGGATCTAAGGAAGCCCTCTATAATCAAACACAAGGATACTTCCTTTTTCGTAGACATGAGGTCTTGCTATGTTGCCCAGGGTGGTCTCAAACTCCTAGCTTCAAGCGATCTTCCTGCCTCAACCTCCTAAAGTGCTGAGATTACAAGCATGAGCCACCATACCTGGCCATGAGACAGTTTTCAATCGACTAGTGCTTCACGAGCCTGAACCTTCCAGGCCACCCCCCGAGTGACCTGAGCAAAGACCCACACCATGTAGGGAACGAGAGCGTCAGAAGTTTGGACAGATGGTGAAATCATGAGGCCTGCATGAGTCACGCCACCTCCCCCCACTTACCTCTGCAGTTGCTTCCCCGCCCTGTCCGTCACCAGCAAGCCATTCTCCATTTGCTTTGCTTCCTTCCCTGGACTGCTGATGCCCGTGACCCCTGGCAGACAAGAGACAAAGGAGGGGAGGGGAGTTATATGAGCCAGATGCTAAAACCAAGGGCAAGGAAAACTGGCCACTTCAGGGAGGAGACAGCAGAGCACTGGGCCACCAGGATGCTCAGAAAGTAGACCTGCTCTGCAGAGGCCATGAACAGGCTGCGTGGTTGCGGGGCAGGTGGAATCTGGAGTTCAGTCCCTTGGGGCAGGAATGGTGCTTTGCAGCTGTGCAGAGAGCTCCATCCACTCAGAGCACTGGGCCCGAGCTAGCATCTCGTACCAGCAGCAATGGGTAAAACCCAGCCCAGGTAACAGCATCTCTGCTGTAAGAAGCTCACTTCTCAGGACCCTGATGCAAGGAACCACAGGAGGGAAAGGGCACAGCCCCCTGGTTCCTAAGCACTGTAAGAAGAGGTGATATTCAAAATAGAGAATCAGTTTGACAAGGGCATCAGCCAACAGGCAGAGGCCCAGGAACCCCTGTAGTGTCAGGAATTAACTCTTTAGTTCCCAGATCAGAGAGGTCCCAGAGAGAGTTCATTGTAAAAGGTACCTGGAGCAGTGGCTGTTTCCACAGTACTAAGCAATTATTTCAATAATTGAACAACTGGGGAACCGAGTTAGGCCAACAACCAGGTGAACTTCAAAGTGGGCCCTTTCCCGGTTGATTCTTCAGATGAGACCCCAGCCCAGTCAGATGCCTTGGCTGCAGACTTAGGGAAAGACACTCATAAGGACACCGAGGGACAGGGCAGCTAGGCATCTGCCCCAACCCAGGAATAAGCCAGCCAGCATCAACTATAATCACCAGAACATTAACAATGACAGTGACAACCAGCACTTATCAAGCGTGCTCAGGCACTGTGCTATGTTGAAACAGATCGTATCTCTTTCCCAGTTCACAGTACCCCAGTGATGGTGACTCAGCCCCCACTGCGCACTGGCTGCCTCAGTCTTTGGTGCCAGGAGAGAAAGCAGCACAATGTAAGGCACCAAAGGGCTGACCCCAGAAGAGGTGGGAGAGGACCCAGGACAGAAGACACAAAAGGGATAAATATGCAGCCAGCAGCACAGTCAGGGTGACCCTGGGGACGCTCGGGTGACATGAATAAAAGCAGAACTCAAAAATGCAGGGTCTCACAGAAAGCCACATGGAGACACAGACACGCCTGGAAGGGAAGTGGGGGCTGCAGATCATCCCTGGACTCAGGAAGGCACTCCACACCAGGGATCCTTAGTCTTGGTTGCAAATCAATCACCTGCTTTACAAATGAGCAGGTGGCGGTCAGGCACAGTGGCTCACGTCTGTAATTCCAGCATTTATGAGGCTGAGGCGGGCAGATCAGTTGAGGCCAGGAGTTCAAGATCAGCCTGGCCAACATTGCAAAACCCCATTTCTACTCTAAAAATACAAAATTTAGCCGGGTGCGGTGGTGTGCGCTTACAATCCAACCTACTCAGGAGGCTGAGGCACGAGAATCACTTGAACCAGGGAGTCAGAGGTTGCAGTGAGCCAAGATGGCACCACTGCACTCCAGCCTGGGTGACAGGGCAAGACTGTCTCAAAAAATAAATAAATAATGAAAGAAAATTTTTAAATGAGTAAAAGAAAAATATTAAAATAAAAAATGAGCAGGTGCTCTCATGTCCAGCCCGGTCCCTGTGGTGACTCTCAAGGTAACTGTGATGCGTGGGAAGTGTTCTCTTACTACCTGGTGTGTGCCTTCTCTGAGCCTCATCTTCCACATCTGCAAAACAGCAACGGCAGCAGACATGACCCCCATTCATGAGAGGGTGAAATGATATCACACACAGTGCTTGGCACAGCGAGTGTTCAGTGATGGCATACCTATGTTGCTTATTACTTTAAACACGCTCCATAGAGAATTCTAAGCACAGCCAGAAACTGAGAACCTCTGCTTTTAACATTCCTTTTAGTGTCAATGTCTGTTTTGTTTTTTAAATTAGAAATTTAAAAAACACTAAATTAAAACAAACCAACCAACCAAGCCCAAATAGCCACATCACTCAGGAAGGAAGAGTGATACCAAGCAGGACTTCCGTGCAGCCAGTCCTCACACACATGCATGACTCTGGGAACCCGCCATGGCTTTAACCATCTTTCTCTGGGCAGGGATGAGAAGAGAATGTTCCAGAACACTCCCAGGGACCCCCATCTGGAGGCTGCATGCCGCAGAGAGCCCTGCCTCTCCTACCAACAGCCCCAGGCCGCCCTGCTGTAAGCCTCAGCCTTCTCCACTCCTGTTCCTCACTGTGTGCAACCACCAGGGTCAGTTGGGAGCTTCTGCAGTGGTTGCTGAGGCTGCCTCACCCTCTCGACCCACCAGTTAGCCCACAGGTTGAACTGGGCAGCTGGGAAATTCCACTCTGAAGCCTAAGAGGAGGAATCTGGAATCTGAACATCGGGTAGTCCACCATCCTGCAGGCATTTTTTTCTTTTTGGAGACGGTGTTTTTCTCTGTCGCCCTGGCTGGAGTGCAGGGGTGCAATCTTGGCTTACTGCAACCTCTGCCTCTTATGCTCAATCAATCATCCCACCTCAACCTCCCAGGGAGCTGGGACTACAGGCACGCACCACTGTACCAGGCTAATTCTTTTCTATTTTTAGTAGAGACGGGGTTTCACCATGTTGGCCAGGCTGGTCTCCAACTCCTGACCTTAGGTGATCCGCCCACCTTGGCCTCCCAAAGTGCTGGGATTACAGGTGGGAGCCACCACACCTGGACGCCTCTCAGCCTTTTGAGGGGATCAGCTCTCCCTTTTCCCACAGCCCTGGCAGTCCTGTCAATCAGGGCGCCTCAGCTTCCCCAGCTAAGGAGGGCATTGTCCCAGGTCGCCCCTAAAAGCCCTTTTCCCAGGACGTGAATCATTATCAGTGGTCTACAAGGACCAAAGACAGTTCAAGTTCATCTGTCCTGAAAGAGTCTGCTTTGTCTCCTGGAGTTCCCACTTCCAGAGTCCTACTTGCTCGGTTCTGCCTTTGATTCATGAGTTACCTGGTATCCTTCCAGAAAACACCCTCTTTTTCTTTAAGGTGGCCAGAGTCAGCTTCTGGGTGCTTGCACAAAAGCCCTGGGCTGGGACCCTTAGCCACACACTGTGGAAGGCAGGAGGGATGGGTTGGCTCTAGCCACTGGAATTCCACTAGGTGACACTCCTCCTCAAGGTCCCCTCTGCCACCTGCTGGAGCTCCTCAACAGGCACGGGTGACCCTGCACTGCCTGGGCCGGTGTGTGTCTTGACTGTGCCCCAGGATGCAGTTGGCAGCTGACAATCAAACGGTTGCCATTTGCTGTCCATCCACTGTGTGCCAGGTGCTTTATAAGCACAGTCCCCTCAAGGCATGCTGGTCACGGTAACGTGACCCACGCAACAATAAAGCGTAGCCAAGGTCACCAGTGACAAGAAAGCGATCTGGGAACTCAGGGTGCATCCCCCAGTGCCAGTCTCAAAGCCAGACACACAGTAGGTGGCTAGTAAATGTGTGCTAAATGAACTAATGAACAGCCAGAGGGGTGAAAACGCAGACATTCAAGGGCCCCTCCCCAGGCATACAGCAGCAGTCCCGGCCCGTCTCTGGCCTCATTCTATGAGCAGAGCCAACTCCAACCCAGAAATCACTGGCCTGCTTCTTCCTCGCCCATCACTGTGCTGCCTCGGAATTCAGAAGACCCAAGAAATTGGTAAGAAGCAAAGGAAAACTCCCGTCCTAAGCCTCTATCTAAATGCCCCAAGGGAGTGAAGGGACTGTCTTTTCTAAAGCGGAAGGGGCAAGGATGGCTGAAAGGTCTGCTCCATTTGTGCCTCAGTTTCCCCATCCCACACATGCTGGGTGGATTTGGGACAAGCACACTGCCCAAGATCAACCCCTTTCTCCAAAGTCGTAATTGTGTGGGTTTTTTGATTTGTTTTGTTTTGTTATGAGATGGAGTTTTGCTCTTTAGCCTGGCTTGAGTGTGGTGGCGTAGTCTCTGTTGACTGCAACCTCCAGCCCCCGGATTCAGGCAATTCTCCTGCCTCAACCTCCTGACTAGCTGGGATTACACACACCCATCACCATGCCTGGCGAATTTATTTTTAGTAGAGACGGGGTTTTGCCATGTTGGTTAGGCTGGTCTTGAACCCCTAACCTCAGGTGATCCACCTGCCTCGGCCTCCCAAAGTGCTGGGATTACAGGCGTAAGCCACCTCGCCCTACCAACGTTATAACTGCGTTTAACCATAAATAGGGCTAAACAAAGAATGCAGACCAACCTTCAGTCTTCACGCCTGCTTTCATGGCAGGAGAAGGAAGGAAATGATGTGTTACAGTAGGCAGGCCAGGCATGACACTGGCAGGAGCACGAGCATCTGCTGTAGCCCCTAGGCTCAGCTCCTTGAGGACAGACATTGCTCATGAGACGGGCTGGCCCCACATGGAGCCAGGTGCACATGTACCCAAGACAAGAAGAGAAGGTGACTTAGCCCAGATACCATCCTAAACCCTCCCAGGCTGGGAAGGGGGCTCCTTCTCTGAAATTTCCCAGGCCCACATGCACCCCTCCATTACTGCATTCAGCACTGCAATACCCTGAATTGTTTAGTGTTTGTCTCCCCCATGAGACCGTGAGCTCTCAAGGGCATGAACTGAGTCTTATCCATTGCTATATTCCCAGCACCTGGCATACCAGGTGGCCAAGTACAGTTACAGAGGATGCACACTGCACAAGTCAAGGTGGGGGCACCATTCCACACAGAGGGTCATGTACCAGGTGGCCCTGTGGCACACACACCCAACAGGCAGATGGACAGACTGATAGGTGTATGGCCACGTCAACAAACAGAGCTGACTTCCCATTGCCAGAGGGGCCCCTCTCGCAGCCAGTACTGAAAAAGCTGGTTTCTAAAGCAGACCCAGAGAGGTGAAATCTCTTCCTATTTTCTCTGAGTCTGAGGTATTTGTGCTGCTGTGTAAACAACCAAAGCCCTCCAGCCCACTGATTGCTTATGCAGGACATGCCTTGAACAGCCAGGGCACGATTCATCCACCCACTTATTTAACACATTTATTCAATGACTACCATATGCCAGGCTCTTTTCTCAGACCTGGGATGCACAGACAACCAAAAAGCCCTCAGAGCATCCGGGCGCAGCAGCTCACACCTGTAATCCCAGCATTTGGGAGGCCAAGGCAGGTGGATTGCCTGCGTTCAGGAGTTTGAGACCAGCCTGGCCAAAATGGTGAAGCCCCGCCTCTACTAAACAAATCGGCCAGGTGTGGTAGCAGGCATCTGTAGCCCCAGCTACTCAGGAGGCTGAGGTGGGAGAATTGCTTCAACCCAGGAGGCAGAGGTTGCATTGAGCAGAGATCGTACCACTGCACTCCAGCCTGGGAGACAAAGTGAGACTCTGTCTCAAAAAAGAAAAAGAAAAAAAAAAAAAAAAAAACCCTCTGAGCTTACATTGCAGGGGAAGAGATAGATAACAAACGAACAAGTAGATCCATAATTTACCTCCAGGCAGCAGTAAGTGCCACAAAGAGGGAAACGAAGGATGGGGGCCAGGGTAGAGCAAGAATTCTTTCTCTTTTGTTTTTAAAGCAAACACAGGAAACGTGTAATTGGATGACAGTCCCTGAGTCCCTGCAAGCACCAGGTGTTTGGTTTCCATGCAGTATAGCCAGGTGCCGCTTCTACCCTTGACCCACATTAAGTGCTGCCCGGGTCTGTGCGTTGTGCTGCCAGCACCCTCACTGTTTATTCTGCCAATGCTGCCTTTACTCAAGAAGGTTCTGGAACTCTGCTTGGGTGCCGGCCAGCAGGCAGCCTCCCCAGAGGAAAGAATTCGACTCACAGCTTTATAGTCAACGCCTCGTTTTTGACCAAAAACGGCATTCACTGGCTGCCTCGCCGACCTCCTCCTCCAGCCTCAGCACAGAAAGCTCTTCATCCTCACAAGAGGAAGAAATTCGGCCTCTGAGGACAGCCAGAAGGAATGTGGGTTTCTGTCGGATGAACTCTCTCGGTGGCTGCCCTGTGCTTACAATCAATCTCTGTAACTTGGGGAGGCTCTCATGATGGGATGTTAAGAAAGAAATCAAAAGGTGGCAGCAGATGAGAAAACGCTGTAACATGCTCTCAATCTTGTCAAGGAAAAAGGCCTAGGAAGCAAGGACAGGTGAAAATGATGCCGACGCTCATCGGCTCTCCTGGGAAGTGAGAAGGGACAGAAGATGCTTTTTGTGACTTTTTGGTTCCTTTTTTTTTTTGAGATGGAGTCGACATCTGTCACCCAGGCTGGAGTACAATGGCACGATCTTGGCTCACTACAACTTCTGCCTCCTGGGTTCAAGTGATACCCCTGCCTCAGCCTCCCAAGCAGCTGGGATTAGAGGCACCCACCACCAGGTCTAGCTAATATTTTCGTATTTTTAGTAGAAATGGAGTTTCACCATGTTAGCCAGTCTGGTCAACTTGAACTCCTGACCTCAGGTGATCCCCCATGCAACCAAAGTGCTGGCATTACAGGTGTGACCCACCGTGCCCAGCTTTTTCCTGATTCTTTGTACTCTTTTAGAGTTTGCATTTATCTATGATGAGCACATGTTGCTTTTATAATCATTAAGAAAAACTCAGCGAATAGTTAAGAGGGAAAAATGTTTGCCATGGGGTTGAGAGATAGTTCAAGCAAGGTTTTGAAAAGCGGCCAGAGGCCAGGCACCATGACGCACAACTGTAATCCCAGCACTTTGGGAGGCAGAGGCAGGAGGATCTCTTGAGCCCAGGAGTTCGAGACCAGCCTGGGCAAAAGAGTGAGACCCCATCTCCATGAAACAATGTAAAAATCGATAAATAAAAATTTCTGAAAAGGAAAAATGGCCACATTGTTGAAATAAGAGTCCTTCTCCCAAGAGGACAAGTGAAGAAGCCGGCAGTGTGAAGTCAGAAAACAACGGGCTTCTTGCTCTCGGTGCTTCAGACATCCTGGCCAGCGGATTCCCTCTCACAGGGCAGGGCAAGGGGGAATTCACCTTGAGTGTTTGGCAACATCACTGGCCCCTACCCTGGTGCCTGCCAGGGGTAAGCCCCACTCCAGTTGTGGCATCCAAACATGTCTCTAAACGTTTCCAAATGTCCCCAGGGTGGGAATAGGGTGCCTGCAATTTGTCCCCCATGGAAAACCACTGCTCTAAGTATGAGGTTCCTAAGAAGAAACAAGAGTCATAGCAATGTGTTCCACCTTCTAGGTATGCAGATTCTCCAGTCAATGAGCATATCCAAATGAACACGGCACCTAAGATGCGCTGCCAAAGCTACGGAGCTCAATGTCAGTCGGATTAGCCCATACGTGAGCTCACCCTGCCTCATCCAGATGATCCTTCCAGAAAGGGAACAAGCTGTTCCTAAACTGGAAAAGGAGGCTGGACAGAAGAAAAAGATGTCCCAGAAGAAACTGAAGACACCCCGGAAGAAACTGAAGACACCCCAGAAGAAACTGAAGACACCCCAGAAGAAATTGAAGAAACAAAACTTTATGGCAAAGGAATAAATTCAGAATAAAAGAAATGCCATTAAAAGTTTTTAAAAAACAGTAAAAAAAAATTATATATATATATATAAATATATATATATATATGTATATATATAAATATATATATTATATATATTTCTTAGAAAGCAGTAAACTAAATATCCCAGGAGAGAGGTCCGTATCACCCCATTCACAAGCCTAATTCCTGCACATCTCCCCTCAAGGATCCTCCCAAGCCAAATACCAACTCCCACCCCCCTTCAGCCTGGGTGTTCTAAAAAAAGCTGATTAATCCAACAAGGAAAACAGTTCCCCTTTAGAAAGAGCCACAAATGTGGTTTAAACAAATCCAAGGTCACTTCAAGTTGGCGAAGGCTGGGCAAGACGAGACCCTGATGTAAAGACTTTACAGCCAGGGCCCTTCCAGAGCGGGGTGGGTGGGGGATGCCCAAGTTTGCTCTAAGACCCATTGCCAAGGCGTCCTCACAGGCAGGAAGTGGGTACCAGGATGGTGGGTGGTATTCACATCACCAAATTAAGTGCTGATGTGCACAAAAAATAATAAAGCATCTGGCAGCCTTCCGCGTTCTATATACACTGCTTGGATAATCTAGCAGTTGGCAAGCAACAGCAGGGCAGAATCTTTCTGGGGCTAACAGAGTTTAAAGACATTTTTTGCTCACCTGGATGGAGGGGAAGAGAGAGAGATCTCACGCTGGTCAAGAGATTCAGCTAACCTGCACACTTATGATTTATAAAGCACAAAGGGTGTTTTCACCTAAAAGTAGCCTGCGAAGCAGGTCAATTAAAGACTCACTGAGATGTTGCCAGAACCCATCTCTCAGGCTAAGAGACAGACAAGGGAGATTTTGCAGCAAGAAGAAACAGGCTAGACTCAAGGTAGAACTTCCCAACCACAAGGGAATGAACATGTAGAAATTCGTTCTAATCAGAGAATTTAAAAGCTGAAGGAATGTCAGCTATCACACACTGGCAATAAACAAAAACCCAACTTATTCATTTAGTTTTGAGACATGGTCTTGCTCAGTCACCAGGCTGGATGGAGTGCAGTGGGCATGACCTTGGCTCACAGCAGCCTCCAATTCCCAGACTCAAGCCATTTTCCCACCTCAGCCTCCCAAATAGCTGGGACTACAGGCGTACACCAACACCCCAGCTAACTTTTTATTTTTAGTAGAGATGAGGTCTCATCACGTTGCCCAGGCTGGTCTTGAACTGCTGACCTCAAGTGATCCACTTGCCTCGGCCTCCCAAAGTGCTGGGATTACAGACATGAGCTACCACGCCTGGCCACCAGCTTCTCCTTTAAACCACCAGGGCTCATGACAGCAGGATTCATAAGAGTCAGAAAGCGGAAACCACCCAAATGCCCATCAGCCAGTGAATAAACACAGGATGGACCATCTGCACAGTGGCGTATTACTCTGCACTAAGAGGAAACGAAGCTGTAACACAGGTGAACCTTGAAAGCATCATGCTAAGTGGAAAAGCTGCCAGTCACAACATTCCACCTATTGTGATGCCATTTAAATGAAATGTCCAGAAGAAGCAAATCTAGAGAGACAGAAAATAGATTTGTGGTTGCCTAGGGCTTGGGGGGTGCTGGGGAAAATAGGGAGTCACTGCTGATGGATGTGGGGTGTTTTGGGGGCGTGATGAAAATGTTATGACCTTGATTGTGGCGATGGTTGCACAACTCTGTGAATATACTAGCAATCACTGGATTGTGCGGTTTAAGTGAGTTAATTGTATGTTGTGTGAATTTTTTTTTTTTTTTTTTTTTTGAGGTTAAGTCTTGCTGTCACCCAGACTAGAGGGCAGTGGCACGATCTCGGCTCACTGCAACCTCTACCTCCTGGGTTCAAGCTATTTTCCTGCCTCAGCCTCCCCAGTAGCTAGGAACGTAGGCATGCACCACTATGCCCAGCTGGTTTTTGTATTTTTAGAGATGCTGTTTCATCATGTTGGCCAGGATGGTCTCGAACTCCTCACCTCAGATGATCCACCCATATTGGCCTCCTAAAGTGCTAGAATTACAGGCATGAGGCACTGTACTCAGCTTACATGTGTGAATTACATCTCAAGAAAGCACTTATTAGAGACACTAGGATCCCTGCAGAGAAGGAGCTCCCACCCCAGGCAGACCAGGAGACCACTAAAGGAGCAGAGGATGAGAACTCAGAGACCAACTTTAGACCCACCCCTGCCCACAGCTGCTGAGTATCCTGGGGCTGGTCACTTTGCCTGTCTGCCAGTCAGGGGCTTCCCAGTGCATTTTCCCAATGCAAAACCTGCCTGGAAGGCCTGCAGGACAATCACTGTGCTGACCTCCTCTCCTTCCCCCATGTCCTAGCACACCATGGTCTGACCATACTAGCCTTTATGTGTTGCAAACAAATTGAGCTCATGCTGGTCCTGAAGCCTTTGCACTTAGTGTTCCCCAAGTCTATAACATGGTTCCCAGATCTTCTCCCTGCTAGCTCCTTCCCATGCCTATGTAACCTTCCCAGAGAGGGTTTCCCTGTCCCCTGCCTCAGTTGCCACAATGACAACCATCACTCCTCAGCCCATGGAACTGTCATGTTTTTTTCCTTTCATAGCACTTAATCGTATCTAAAATCTCTCTTTCCTTTTTTTTTTTTTTTTTTTTTTTTTTTTTTTGGTAGAGTTGGGGTTTCAGTATACTGGCCAGGCTGCTCATGAACTCCTGGCCTCAAGTGATCCACTCACCCCAGCCTCCCAAAGTGCTGGATTACAGGTGTGAGCCACCGCCCCTGTCACGTTTTTTCTATTTTTTGTAGAGATGAGGTTTCACCATGCTACCCAGGATGGCCTCAAACTCCTGGGCTCCAACAATCCTCCCGCCTCAGCCTCTCTAAGTATTAGGATTACAGGTGTGAGCCATGATGCCTGGCCCTGCTAAACTGTTTTATGAGGGAGGGAACTGAAGCTCAGATGGGTCTGAAGGGCAGGCCTGAGGTCACACAGCTGGGGAGATGTCCAGGGTTTGAACCCAGATGTCACCAACCCGAGCCTGCAAGCTCAACTCCGTGCTTCACCTCACAACCCTCATGTCTCCTGTGTCACGCACGTCCTCAGTTTCTCTCAGCCCCGAGAGAGAGAGAAATTAAATAAATTAAATAATTACCATTGTTCCCGTTTTTGCCTTAAGGACCCTGACACTCAGCAGGTCCAAGGCATGTTCCAGGAAGGCACTAGACCCTGCCCTGAGGTCAGCTGAGCAGAAGCCTGGTGCCCCCATGCCCTAGTCGTAAAGCACCGGGACTCCCTCCCAATTCAGTTCTGCAGAGACTAAGATGGTCTTCCAAGTTGGTTCTTTAGGGGGCTCATTTACCTCCCACCCTCACGCTCTGCTGAGCCGCCTTCCGCGGGTGGTTGGTAGCAACCTCAAGTAGGCCAATGTGGCCCTTCAAGGCGCCAGACACCCCAAGCGGGAGGAACCCCGGGGCTGCCCCTACCGTTGTCCTCTGGGTCCTGCTCCTGCTCTGTGCTGGCGTAGGTGCGCAGGAACTCAGCGAAGGCACCGTCCCGGGCCAGCAGCTCCTGGTAGGAGCCCATCTCAGAGATCTTGCCGCCACTCATAACGATGATGATGTCCACCTGTGGCAGGTAGCTCACGCCGTGCGTGACCAAGATCCGCGTCTGTGAGCAAAGAGGACACGCGGCCACATCAGCGTACACGTGCGAGACTGCCTGGCTAGGCAGTGAAGACTAAAGCAGAAATGAGCCAACCAAACCTGGTGAGCAGAACTCAGGTCTGAAGATGGGGCGTGCACCTGGGATGACAGCAGGCAGGAGCAGCTGAACCTATAATCCCAACACTTTGGGAGGCTCAGGAGGTTCCCTTGAGGCCAGGAGTTCAAGATCAGCCTGGCCAATATGGTGAAACCCCGTCTCTAATAAAACTACAAAAATTGAAACCAGCCAGGGAAACACAGTGAGACCCGTCTCCACAAAATAATTTAAAAAATTAGCCAGGCATGGTGCTGTGTGCCTATAGTCCCAGCTACTCAGGAGGCAGGAGGATGGCTTGAGCTCAGGACGTGGAGGCTACCGTGAGCCATGATCGTGGCACTGCACTCCAATCTGGACTCTACCCTATCTCCAAAAAAAACGAATGTGCTGGCTATGGACACTGATATTTAAATTTAGTATGATTTTCGACCATTTAAAAATGTAAACATCACTCTCGGCTATAGAGCCATACAAAAAGCAGGAAGTGGGCCAGATTTGCTAACCCCTGCTCTCTAAGAGAAGAATTAGGGATTGGGGTGCAGGATCAATAGAGACTATTTTATTTTATTTTATTTTATTTTATTTTATTTTTTGAGACGGAGTTTCACTCTTGTTACCCAGGCTGGAGTGTGATGGCGCGATCTCGGCTCACCGCAACCTCCGCCTCCTGGGTTCAGGCAATTCTCCTGCCTCAGCCTCCTGAGTAGCTGGGATTACAGGCACGTGCCACCATGCCCAGCTAATTTTTTGTAGTTTTAGTAGAGACGGGGTTTCACCATGTTGACCAGGATGGTCTCGATCTCTTGACCTCGTGATCCACCCGCCTCGGCCTCCCAAAGTGCTGGGATTATAGGCTTGAGCCACCGTGCCCGGCCGAGACTATTTTATTTATTTAATACATACTTTTTAGAGTCTCACTGTTTCCCAGGCTAGAGTGCAGTGATGCAATCTCAGCTGACTGCAACATCCACCTCCCGGGTTCAAGCGATTCTCCTGCCTCAGCCTCCTGAATAGCTATGATTATAGGCACGCGCCACCACACCCATCTTTGTATTTTTAGTAGAAACAGGGTTTCACCATGTTGGCCAGGCTGGTCTCGAACTCCTGACCTCAGGTGATCCACTGGTCTTGGCCTCCCAAAGTGTTGGGATTCCTCACTGTGCCCGGCTTTATTTATATACACACATGTGCACATGTACATGCATGTAGTACAAGAACATATCCATATTCTTGTACTTTTCAATTTTGTTACCACGGGCATATATTACTTAGTAATTTTCAGAAATGTTGTTTACTATTTTAAAATTATGTTTACACAGAATGTTAGTGGTATGTATGGGAATGCTTACAATAATAGGTCATGTAGCATGATGCTTCCTGTATATATACAAGTACAAGATAACCCTATTTAAAAAGTTTATACACAGAGTAAAAAGACTTGGAAGAAATACAAAATCTCTAACTGGTGGAATGTGTGTAACTGCTTCCATTTTCCTTTTTCATGTTTTTCTTAATGTGTATTTCCTCCATGGGGATGTGTTCGTTTTAAAATCAGGGGAAACAGCCAGGCACGGTGGCTCATGACTGTAATCCCAGCACTTTGGGAAGCCAAGGCAGGCAGATCACTTGAGCTCAGGAATTCGAGATCAGCCTGGCCAACATGGTGAAACCCACCCTACTAAAAATACAAAAAGTTAGCCGGGCGTGGTGGTGGGTGCCTGTAATCCCAACTACTCGGGGGGCTGAGGCATGACTATCACTTGAACCCAGGAGGCGGAGGTTGCAGTGAGCCAATGTAGCCCCAGTGCACTCCAGCCTGGGCAACAATAGTGGAACTCTAACTCAAAAAAAATAAAATGTAATCGGGGGAAAAAAAAGCCAGTGTGCACCCATTACCACAACTGCCCTATGAAAAGAACACAGGAGCTTTCTTCTATCACGTTAAGGTGTTGTGGCAATTTTCCTACCCCTCTATCCACGGCGGCCTCTGCAAGTAAGAAAATGCAGCCTACTAGGTCACAGGCAGTGTCTCAGAGTAGGATTCCCCACCGAGAAGCCAGCCCTGTGACTTACTCAGGCTTCCTTTGGCCGCACAGAGGCAATGAATTTAACTCTGCGTGGAGGACTTACCCTATAAAGACAAGTACAGGCGGCTGCCTTCGGAAGGCTTCCAAGAGAAGCATGAGAAATGTGTTCTTTAAAGTCCAATTAAAAACAAAAAAAAGCCAACGAAAGCAAAGGACTCCTAAAGGGAACACAGCCCGACTTAACCGAAGGGCAAGACAGCCTGACGCCAAGCCGCTCCCCACCCCGCCAGCAGGCACCTTGTTCTTCAGCATCCCCTTGGGGCCAATCACATTTTCAAAGATGTGCTTTCCCACATGGGCATCCACCGCCGAGAGAGGATCATCGAGGAGGTAAACGTCAGAGTTGCAGTACACGGCCCGGGCCAGGCTCACGCGCTGCTTCTGGCCCCCAGACAGGTTCACGCCCTGGGGAGAGACATGGCAGATGAGTGGGATTCCTGGGAAACCCTGAGACTCAAGAAATGTAGAAGCGGGCTGGGTGTGGTGTGATCCCAGAATTTTGGAAGCCAAGGTAGGAGGATTGCTTGAGGTCAGGAGTTTGAGGCCAGCCTGGGCAACACAGGAGACCTTGTCTCTACAAAAAATAAAATAAAAAATTAGCCAGGCGTGGTGGTGTGCACCTCTAGTCCCAGCTACTCAGGAGGCTAAGGTGGGAGGAAGGCTTGAGCCCAGAAGTTCAAGGCTGCAGTGAGTCATGACTAGGCCACCACACTCCAGCCCAGGGGACAGAATGAGACCCTGTCAAGAAAGAAGGGGAGGGGAGTGGAGAGGAGGGAAGGGGAGGGGAGAAAAAAGAAAGAGAAAGGAAGAGAGAGAGAGAGAGAGAGAGAGAGAGAGAGAGAGAGAGAGACAGAAAAGGAAGAAATAAAGAAAAGGGGAAGGAGGGAGGGAGGGAAGGAGGTGGGCAGGCGGGCAGACATAGGGCCTGCTCAGGACACCACATGCCCAGGGCGGAGGCCCTGCAGGGCTGCAACCACTTCCTCTTCTTTGAGTGCAAGACAAGGCACGAGGTCCTGCCCACACAAACCTGGAGCCAGGCCCCAGCTCCACCAGCAGCAGGGAAGGAGCCACAGGCACAGGGTTTAGCCCCATCTGTAAAGCGGGCAAAGGAGAAAGTGCAAGTCTCCTGTGAAGTGCTGGGCAGGGCATGTGGTGCATGGCAAGCGCTGAGCGAAGGGTGGCTGGTGGCACCCAATCCTGCTGGCTGGTGGGAAGGCCCTGATCACTTAGTCTCAGGAAGGCGCAGGTGGATGGGGTGATGCTATTGTTGCTGCCACCCTTGGTAATGGCTGCCGTGTTTGCCAGCTTACTCTGGATCTGTCATTGCCCAGCAAAGCCACATCCACGTGAATCAAGCTCCAACCTGGGGATGCTTAAATCCAGCCCGTGTCCGTCACCAGGAAGAAGGACAACGCATGGACCGGCAGCAGCACCAGCTCCCATCATGACGGAGAAGTCAACCCCATTTCCCTACATGGCTGGGAATCAAGGGGACACACACTGGGTCACCGCCTAGCCCCTCCTTACATGCCTACCCTAGCTCCCATGCACTGAGCGGGGGTTCCTGGCAGCCAGGTGCCTTCTCTGAGATGGAATCTCACTCTATCGCCCAGGCAGGAGTGCAGTGGCACAATCTCAGCTCACTATCATCTCCACCTCCTGGGTTCAAGCGATCCTCTCACTTCAGCCTCCCGAGTAGCTGGGACCACAGACGCACACCACCATGCCTGGCTGATTTTTGCATTTTTTTGTAGAGATGAGGTTTTACTATGTTACCCAGGCTGATCTTGAATTCCTGATGTCAGGCAGTCCTCCCACCTTGGCCTCCCAAACTGTTGGGATTATAGGCGTGAGCTAATGCACCCAGCCAATAATTTGTTTATTTCCAAGGAGCTGCAGATTTACTTCAATTTTTAAAAATCATTCATCAAGTAAGAAAGCCGATGGAGCCCCTGGCTTGTAACTGAAAACAGAAATGGGCCGGTGCTTTGCACTCCAAGTGTTCCGACAGGGGACCCGCCAGACAACTGCCATGGGGCACCAGAGCCAAGCAGCCGGGCAAGCAGCAGGGGAGGGCACCCCAGGCCTGGAAGGCTCAGACCAAGGTGGAGAGGTGGGCAGGGGCTGGGGTTGCTGAAGAACAGCAGGAAAACCTGGGGCCTGGAGCATAGGGGGAGGGAAGGAGGGAGGAAGGGGGGGAAGTAGGGGCTGCAGTGGTGAGAAAAACAGAGAAGGGCTCTTTTAGAGATGACAAAATGAACAGGTAAGAACATGGACACAGGAACCACGCTCTCCACAGTTCTGTGGCTGTGTGGCCTCAGGCAAGTCACTTGGCCTCTCTGTGCCTCCTTTTCCTCAATGATTACCTGGGTATAACAATAAATTCCACCCATGGGCTTGCTGTGAGGAGGAAATACATGTAAAATGTTTAGCATAGTTACCAGCACACAGAAAATGCTCAAGTTATAGGCCAGGCACAGTGGCTCACACCTATAATTCCAACACTTTGAGAGGCAGAGGCGGGCATATCACCTGAGGCCAGGAGTTCAAGACCAACCTGTCCAACACAGTGAAACACCATCTCTACTAAAAATACAGAAATAAGCTGGGCATGGTGGCAGGTGCCTATAGTCCCAGCTACTCAAGAGGCTGAGGCAGGAGAATCACTTGAACCCAGGAGGCAGAGGGTGCAGTGAGCCAAGATTGTGCCACTACACTCCAGCCTAGGCAACAGAGCAAGACTCCAAACATCCCAAAAAAAGAACTTTGAGAAGGTGAGGCCAGCAGATCACTTGAGGACAGGAGTTGGAGACCAGCCTGTTCAACATGGTAAAACCCCACCTCTACTAAAAATCCAAAAACTGGCTGAGTGGTGATGCACACCTATAAAAAATGGAGGCTAAGGCATGAGGATAGCTTAAACCTGGGAGGGGGAGGTTGCAGTGAGTGGAGATCATGCCACTGCACTCCAGCCTGGGCAACAGAGCGAGACTCTGTCTTACAAAAAGAAAGAAAGAGAAAATGCTCAGTTAGTGTTAGCTAACGTGCTATTCTTCTTATTATGGCTGTTCTGACAGGGACTGTGGGCGTCTGAATCCACACCCCTCCTCCCAACAGCATGCCCTTTGTCATGTGACTTTGCAGTCATGTGACCACAAAGGTAGCATGTGCTTCCCTTCCGGTCCCTTGCCTTGGAGCTTGGCCAAGTGACTTGCTTTGTGGGTATAAGGGACAGTGTACTTTAAGGGGCACTGCATGCTTTTTGGGGAGCCTACCATGAGCAAAGCCTCCCTGTGGAAAGCTGCTGACCCCTTACCCAGTCCCCAGCAAGAAGCTCTGTCAGGGAGGCCTGAGCTGCACCCACGGCCTGGAGCCAAGCTCAGCTGGCCTGTGGCGTCCAGCAGATCCACCCAGCTGAGCCCCGCTGGGTCTGCTGATTGCAGTCAACCCACAAACCACTGACATTGTGAGAATGTTAGTCAGCAATAGCAGACTGATCCAGGGGCCAGCAGTGAAACTATACTGACCTTCTCACCGATCTCTGTCCGGTCCCCGCTGGGCAGGATTTCCAGGTCTGGGAGGAGGGCACAGGCCTGTATCACGGACCTGTAATACCGTTCCTCCAGCTGACATCCAAAAAGGATGTTTTCTCGGAGAGAATCATTCTGAATCCAGGCCTGCTGTGGCACATAGGCCAAAGAGCCCTACAAGCAAATGGAGAGAGATGAGACGGACACACAGACAGGGTTCATCAACAAGACAGCAGCCAGCTAGGAGGGCCTCATTTCACAAGTCATTTTCGTCACGCCTACTGTTTTGACAAGAGGGAAACTGAGTCACAAAGGACAAGAGACACCAGGGCTAGGATCAGAACACATACCAGGCGAATCACTGACTCCCAATACCAGGAGTTAAAGAGTTCATCTCATTGATGAGATTACAGTTGCTTATTTAGCAGCTAGCTATTAACTACATGCCTCCAGGGGTGACGAACGCCCCTGCTTCCCAAGAGCAGAAGTCCCTGGCATCACCAAAAACTACCTGATTACAGTTACAGTGGATGCGAAGAGGGAGAGACACATGACACGTTTTAAAAATCTGACTTGGCCCTGGTGTGGTGGCTCATGCCTGTAATCCCAGCACTTTAGGACGCCGAGGAGGGCGGATCATGAGGTTAAAAGATCAAGACCATCCTGGCCAACATAGTGAAACCCATCTCTACCAAGAATACAAAAATTAGCTGGGCGTGGTGGTGTGCACCTGTAATCCCAGCTACTCAGGAGGCTGAGGCAGGAGAATCGCTTGAACCCAGAAGGCAGGGGTTGCAGTGAGCCAATATCATACCATTGTACTCCAGCCTGGGCAACAACAGCAAGACTCCATCTCAGAAGGGAAAAAAAAAAAAAAAAAAAGAAGTCTAACTTGACTAGGCTCAGTGGCTCATGCCTGTAATCCTAGTACTTTGGGAGGCCAACCTGGGCAGACCACTTGAGGCCAAAGGTTCAAAGCCAGCCTAGTCAACATAGAGAAACGCCATCTGTAATAAAAATAGAAAAATTCACCAGACATGGTGGTGTGCATCTGCAGTCCCAGCTACTTGGGAGGCTGCGGTGGGAGGACGCGGAGGTTCCATGAGCTGAGATTGCACCACACCACACCACTCCAACCTGGACCACAGAGCAAGACTCTGTCTCAAATAAAGACTGCCCTGGTTTGGGACATCAGGGAAGGATCCTTGAGGAAATATCCTTGCTAAAAATTAAAGCAAATACTCTTACATCAAAGCATCCATTTCAAAGGTTTATTTTTATTTCCATTTAATGTCATGCATCACAAACAGCATGAGAATAAAGGCCAGAGTAAGGATATTTGTTTCTTGTATTTTGCTAATAAAAACGCTGAAGTAGTTAAAAATTTTCTCTCCATCCATTTGTTATGTTTGTAGAAACAATCTCCCCATGTTGCCGAGCCTGGTCTCGAACTCTAGGCCTCAAGCGATCCTCCTGAAATGCTGGGATTACAGGCATGGGCCATGATGCCCAGCCCAAACCTATTTTTAGACAAGGACCAAAAAGTGAAGAATGAGTCCGTTTCATGAGGAGAAGAGGGAAGAGCATTCAAGTCTGAGGGAGAAGCACAAGCAAAGGCCTGGAGCTGAAGAGTACTTGGCACATTCAAGGAATAGAAAGGCCACTGCTACAGAAGCACGGATCAATCCTGTGAAGGGATGACTGGCAGCAAACAGACCAGGGACAGTAACGGGCCTATACATGGTGAGGAGCAGGGGCTTTATCGGAAGGGCAATGGGACGCCCCTGAAGATTCTTTTTCTTTCTTTCTTTTTTTTTTTTTTGAGACAGAGTTTCGCTCTTGTTACCCAGGCTGGAGTGCAATGGCGCGATCTCGGCTCACCGCAACCTCCGCCTCCTGGGTTCAGGCAATTCTCCTGCCTCAGCCTCCCAAGTAGCTGGGACTACAGGCACGCGCCACCATGCCTAGCTAATTTTTTGTATTTTTAGTAGAGACGGGGTTTCACCATGTTGACCAGGATGGTCTCGATCTCTTGACCTTGTGATCCACCCACCTCGGCCTCCCAAAGTGCTGGGATTACAGGCTTGAGCCACTGCGCCCGGCATTTTTTTTTTTTTAAAGAAGTCTCACTATCACCCAGGCTGGAATACAGTGGCACAATCTCGGCTCACTGCAACCTCTGCCTTTGGGTTCAAGGAATTTTCCTGCCTCAGCCTCCTGAGTAGCTGGGATTATAGGCATGTACCAGCAGGCCTGATAATTTTTATATTTTTAGTAGAGACAAGGTTTCGCCATGGTGACCAGGCTGGTCTCAAACTCCTGACTTCAGGTGATCCACCTGCCTTAGCCTCCCAAAGTGCTGAGATTACAGGCACGAGCCACCACGCCCAGGCAGAAGGTTCTTGAATAAGAGAATTCTAGAGAGGGCAAAGCTTACAGCAGGTCCCAGGTGCCCTGATCCTTACTCTAAATTCTCAGATAAATAACTAACCTGCAGACTTGAATATCCTAACTTATAAGAAGCCAAAAGGTCAACATAGGTGCCTTACCAAACCACCCACAAAAAATTCAGACATAATATATATCAACCACACCAACTAAAACATTTGGGAAAAGATAAACACTTTATACACAGTTCTAGCACTCCCCTCACCAGACAAAAATAACCAATAATGAATAATTATCTGGCCTGAAATGACAATAGTGTGGGGATAGCAGAAACCTGGGGTTAAGAAAACAGGAAGCCATGTGGATCCCACCATGATGTGGGATTTTCTTCCATTAATCTAGCTCTCATAGTTCATTCATCTTCTTTTATGGCAGGAACTTGAAAGTAATGACCGAACAGTTCTTAAAACAACAGCTAAAGGTCAGGAGTTTGGACCCAACCACAATGTATACTTTCTACAGGCATTGTATAAATACCGAAGAAAGGGTTTTGCTCGGAAATAAAAACGTCACAAATTAGGCCAGGAGCAGTGACTCACGCCTGTCATCCCAGCACTTAGGGAGGCCGAGGTAGGCAGATCACTTGAGGTCAGGAGTTTTAGACTACCCAGGCCAACATGGTGAAACCCTGTCTCTACTAAAAATACAAAAATTAGCCGGGCATGGTAGTGGCGTGTGCCTGTAATCCCAGCTAATAAGGTGGCTGAGGCAGGAGAATCATTCACTTGAACCCAGGAGGTGGAAGTTGCAGTGAGCTGAGATCTGGCCACTGCACTCCAGCCTGGACAACAAAGCAAGAATGTGTGTCAAACAAAGTCATAAACTTGATATTCCCAAAGGCAGATTCCGAGAGACAAATGTGCAGTTGCACTGGCACTAAAGAGGTGCAGGCAATATGTCTGGGACACATGAGGTTAAACAGTTAATAGAATTTTTCTCATTGCAGGACTTATTAGAGCCTTTAATTTGCTAACATTTATTATAAATCTCTAAGAGGGAGGGGTCAGAGTATGTCTGCATTATTTCCCAAGCTTCTTTGAGCCTGGAGTTCTTTTTTTTTGAGAGAGAGTCTTAATCTTGTCACCCAGGCTGGAGTGCAATGGCACAATCTCAGCTCACTGCAACCTCCACCTCCTGGGTTCAAGCAATTCTACCACCTCAGCCTCCTGAGTTGGTAGATTACAGGTACCTACCACCATACCCGGCTAATGTATTTTTAGTAGAGATGAGGTTTTGCCATGTTGGCCAGGCTGGTCTTGAACTCCCACCCTCATGATCCACCCACCTCAGCCTCCCAAAGTGCTGGAATTACACATGTGAGCCACCGCACCCAGCCAAGCCTGGGGTTCTTTATCTGCCCGTCTTCCTCCAAGATGAGCTGGCTGCAGACCACACTCCTGGAAATGATGGAAACAAAACTTCCAGGGCCGTATTGTTATGCTAGGAAAAGCCTTCGAGGAGGCACAAACTAAATGCACACCAAGGCTGTTGATTTCCAGTGAGACTAATTTGTAAAGCAGCCTCTTAAGTTCCTTCCTGGGGAGCTTCAACTTAATTCAAAGTACACTATTTATCAGCAGTAAAACTGCAGTCTTCTTTTAGCACCATATTAAGAATTCTACAAACATTAAAAATTTAAACTGTTCCCTTTAAGGAATGATCTAATAAAATATTCCAACCACATAAATAAACATTTTTATTTTGTTCTATTTATAAGAAAAGATACGCAGAGATTCCATAAAGAACAACCCAGGGAGACCCAAAGAGACCAGAGATACTCAATGACAGGCTGAGATGCAAGGGAAGGAGATACAGGCCGCGTACCACAGGGAGACTTCACATGTCTACTAAATATTTATTAAGTGGCCGGGTGTGGTGGCTCACGCCTGTAATCCCAGCACTTTGGGAGGCCGGCAGGCAGATTACTTGAGGTCAGGAGTTCAAGACCAGCCTAGCCAACATGGCAAAACCCTGTCTCTACTAAAAAACATAAAAATTAGCCAGACATGATGCTACATGCCTACAATCTCAGCTACTCAGGAGGCTGAAGCAGGAGAATCGCTTGGATCCAGGAGGCAGAGGCTTCAGTGAGCCAAGATCGCACCACTGCACTCCAGCCTGGGTGACAAGACCCAACCCTGTCTCAAAAAAAACAAAACAAAAAAAGCTTAATAAGGAGATAGCAAAATAGATATTTATTAAGTACCTACTACATACTGGGCACTATTCTAAGTGCGATACAGATGGAAAGAAATGATACCAAAATCCTGCCTTCTAGGATGACACAGAGCAGAAGAGAAAGAATGAGGGAGAAAGACAGAAAGACGGAGGAGGAGGAGGAAGACACGGTTCTGCTCCCACTTCTGGCACAGGCACAGGCAAAAGAAATGGCATCGTTTTTGAGCTTTTCCTGAGGCCACCAGCTTCCCGCCGCCCCCCTCGCTGGTCCCCGTCCTACCTTGATAGCCACGTGCCCCTCCACTTTCTCCATCTCGGCCAAGAGGGCGGAGAGCAGCGACGACTTTCCGCAGCCCACCTGGCCCACCACAGCCACCAAGGCACCTTCCGGGATGGAGAAGGTGATGCTGAAACGACACCACACACCTTACTCAGCCGCGCTGGGTGAGGCCTGCCGGGCTAATGCCCCTGTCCACCGAGCCTCCGTTTACCCCAAGCAGAGACAGACAGAAGGCAGGGCCGTCCTAAGCACCGAAGGCCTCAGCATTCCTTCTGTTTCTCCTGCTGAGTTCAGTTCAGTGACCCGTATCAGGGGGCCTCCGGGTGCAAGACGGGTGAAAGGTGTACCTCAGAGAACAGAGGCAGGGAATGACCTGAGGAACCTCGTCACACCAAGCCGAGGGAGGGGCAGAAACTTCACTAGGGGCACAAGGCAAGGTCTGAAAAGAGAGGACACCTCAAGACAAACTCTGGGGCCAGGTGCGGCGGCTCACGCCTGTAATCGCAACACTTTGGGAGGCCCAGGTAGGTGAATCACGAGGTCAAGAGTTCGAGACCAGCCTAGCCAAAATAGTAAAACCCCGTCTCTACTAAAAATACCAAAAAAAATTAGCCCAGCATGGTTGCAGACACCTGTGGTCCCGGCTACTCAGGAGGCTGAGGCAGGAGAATCGCTCGAACCCCGGAGGCAGGGGCTACAGTCAGTGGAGATCGCGCCACTGCACTCCAGCCTGAGCGAGAGCGTAAGACTCTGTCTCAAACAAACAAAAACTCTGACAGAAAAGCAGGAAAGTCCCAGACACAGAAACACAGGGAGAGTGGGAGACGGGTTTAAAGGGGTGACGGCATGGGGTGTGAACAGGGATGAGATGGCGCTGAGGTGGGTGGTGGCCAGGCCTGGCAGCACCTGGAAGGACACCCTGGAAGGACTGTGTGTTAAGACACCTGACCTCTGCCAGCGGGAGCCACCGAAGGGTCAAAAAGGGAGATGGACTTGAATAAATCTGAGTTGAATTTCAGGAAGTTGTCTCTGTTGGAACCATCCTTTAACAAACAGCAGAAAGCAAAACAAAATAAGCTCTACATTCTCTCCCAAGACTGCCTGTTACATGAAGCAGGACAGCCCCACACCATGCCCAGTGCCCGCAGCACAGCCAGAGCAGCGCCTCCAATCTCCCAGGGAAGGCGGCACACCCGAGGCTTTTGCTGGGATCACTTACATGGTATGTGCTTTATTTATTTGATTTATTTATGCATTTTTTTTGAGACAAAGTCTCACTCTGCAGCCCAGTTTATTTATTTATTTAATTATGGTTTGTTTTGTTTTGTTTTGTTTTTTTTGAGATGGAGTCTCACTCTGTGGCCCAGGCCGGAGTGCAGTGATGGGATCTCGGCTCACTGCAACCTCCGTCTCCGAGGTTCAAGTGATTTTTCTGCTTCAGCCTCCCGCGTAGCTGAAATTATAGACGAGCACCACCACACCCAGCTAATTTTTGTATTTTTAGTAGAGATGGGGTTTCCCCTTGTTGGCCAGGCTGGTCACAGACCGCTGACCTCCAGTGATCTGCCTGCCTCAGCCTCCCAAAGTGCTGGGATTACAGGCGGGCACCAACACATCCAGCTAATTTTCATAATTTTGGTAGAGACAGGGTTTCACCATGTTGGCCAGCTGGTCTCGAACTTCGGACTTCGGGTGATCTGCCCGCCTGGGCCTCCCACAGTGCTGGGATGACAGGCATGAGCCACCACCCCCAGCGGAATATGCTTTTTGACTGCTGCCCTTCTGATGTCACAGTATTAGTGGAAATGCTGATAGTTGTTGCTGTCGCCGACTGTTTCATTCTTACTACACTGCTGCATGATGGCACTTACAGGCTTTCTGTTCCTGAGCTGGGAGGGAAGGATTATGGGGCCTGAGAGGGCCGGAGCCCAGTAAGACAGTACCTGCCATTACCCATGTGAGACTGAAACATTCTTACAGGCTGACGAGATAAAAGGGTTAGAAAGGTTCTGGGGGCCCATGGTGGGAAGGTAACTGGAAGAGGAAAACCATTTGGCCAGGGAAGGGACACAGATCCAGATTAGTTGTGGGACTCAACAAGAGAGAACAGCTACAGTTGAAGCAGGCAGGATTTAAGTTAGACATAAGGAAGAACTTCCTAAGCATGCAGTTTCACCATGAATTCTCAACGCAGGCGTTACACAGATTCTTTTCTCTGGAGAGTTTGTCTCCTATATGACAAAACATGGCAGCGATCTGGCTACCCAGGCATAAGCTAAACCTCTAAAAGGCCCCATTGCCTCTGTGGTTTGTGGATTCCTTTAGAGAACCTCAAGCAGCTGCTGATCAAGGCCTCTGGTCAGAAAAGAATGAGAGGTGCTTAACAAGATGCCTGGGGATGAGGCCAACTTCCTAGATAGCACGTGCCTGGGAACGCTAAGGACTGCAGCGTGTGGGGTACCGGGTAGAGAGCTGATGAGAAAGGTGGGCCGGGCAGCTGAGGAGCACTGGAGCTCAGCAGCATCGCAGCCTCTGACTGAGCCTGGCCAGTCAACACAGTATCTGCAGTCACAGTGACTGACTCATGGAGGGCAGAGGACCCAATCTGGGTCAGTAAAAAGTAGGCAGGTCTCCTACCAGCAGGACACACAGTGGGAGCTGTCAGGGCCATTTGCAATCACAAGGGGAGAGGATGCGTGAGGATAAAGCAGCCCAGGACAAAGTAGAACAAAGAGAATATGCAGAAAGTTCCGATGGCAAAGTCCCTGGATCACACCACACCTGAAAGCAGAACTTCCCACTTACGGGAGTCAAAAACCCCCTATGTTGTCTAAGCCTAGCTGTCCAAGGCTGCTGTGACTTATAATCAGAGGGAACCCTCTGTGCTGAGCACCTTTGTGTCTGCTTCTCGAGACAGCCCAAGGAGGTATACCTGGACCGATTTTCCAGATGGGTAAGCTGACGCTTAGAAGAGCAAAGTGAGTTGTTCAAAGTCACAGAGATGGAGTGCAGTGGGAATTTAACCCACCTTTGACCAAAGCCCTGTGGCTCTGTCCACGCCATCACGTGTCCATGTCCCGGCTTACCCATTCAGTGTGGGAGGTTCGCTCCTGGCCCAGGTGAATGTGGCATTCCTCACAGTGATGCTGTTCGTGCCCCCGCCTAGAGAGCACAGAGACAACACGTCAGACCCAGGCTGAGCTGTGGGACTCCGCATGAGCAGAACACCCTCTTTTTCTGCCCAAGTGGTTCCACCCCAGACGCTCGACATGAATGGCACCACGCATTATCTGGTGACATCAGCCACAGGTTGTGAAAGAAGAACCCCAACCTGCAGTTTTGGAGGCAGCCACCGACCCAGAAAGCAGAAGGAAACGGCAACAAGGTTGTCCTTGTAAGACGGGGTTGCACCATCCAGACGCTCATCTCCAAGACGACTCCAGAGGCAGGGACCCCACGGGGGTTACTCAATGCTCTGGACGCCCTGGCGCCTCTCAGGCAGGTCCAGGGCAGCCCCAGCTGGGAAGGCCAAGCAGTGGCCAACGTCAGTGGGAAACAGGTGGTGTCCACATGCAAAGCTCTCTCCATCGGGGTGGCCTGTATCACACCACTGGGCCCTCCTTGAAGTTCTAAGGGAGGTTGTTCACCCTTCTCCCCGTGTACTCTCTCTTCCTTCCCCAGCCACACCACCCACACACATCGCAGCAGGTGGATCTTTCTAAAACACAGTCATAACTCAAAAAAAGAGGATACAAAACAGGAAGTGCAGTATCAGGGCATGGGGGAGGGGACAGTGTTGGAGACAAAGGCCACGTTATATGGCTCCGAGTTTCCATCTTCTTCTGGGATAGGGTCTGGTCTGGCCCACGATCAAGCGATTCTCTCACATCAGCCTCCTGAGCAACTGGGACTACAGGATGAGTACCATCATGCCCCGCTAATTTTTTTTTTCCTGTGTTTTTTATAGAGACAAGGGTCTTGGCATGCTGCCCAGGCTGGTCTCGAACTCTTGGCCTCAAGGGATCTGCTGACCTCAGCCTCCCAAAGTGCTGAGATTACAGGTGTGAGACACCACGCCCGGCCGGCTCCGTGCTTCTAAAGCTCCTGGCACCTCTGTCTTGTTTTACTTTTCCGACCGTTATTATCCTTTTATTCCATGTCTCTCACTTAAAAGAAAAGCAGGCCAGGCACAGTGGCTCACGCCTGTAATCCCAGCACTTGGGGAGGCCGAGGCAGGCAGATCACCTGAGGTCAGGAGTTGGGAGACTAGCCTGGCCAACATGGTAAAACCCCGTCTCTACTAAAAATATAAAAGTAGCCAGGTGAGGTGGCAGGCGCCTGTAATCCCAGCTACTTGGGAGGCAAAGGCAGGAGAATCGCTTGAAACCCAAAGGCAGAGGTTTCAGTGAGCAGAGATCGTGCAACTACACTCCGGCCTGGGCAATAGAGTCAGACTCCATCTAAAAAAAAAAAGAAAAAGAAAAAAAAGAAAACAGCAACTCTCTGAATTATGTAAAACCATCCAGAGATAACACAGGAGTATTTTTGTTTAAGTTGTCAAATGAAGAAGTAATTTCCTCCACGTATCAAAGAAACAAAAAACCTACAGAGGGGGAAGTTCCTGGTTAACCTAGATTAACCTTCTCACTCAGCTCTTTCAAAAGAGAGGATGTGGAATGAGGAAAGGGGGAGCTCCTATGTAAGGAATTTAAGAAAAGCCAGTGGAGCCAGAGAGGTTGCAGACAACAGTCAGGCTTCGGAGAGGAGAGCTGCCAAGGGGGCCCCACTGGCTAGAGTGTGCTACACATTCCACAAAGCCCAACCACCTAGGAGGCCACTATTAAGGCGGGAAGGAGGGGCTGGGGTGCTGGCGGCACCCCAGGGCCCCGGGATTTCCTGCATTGAGTTGTGAACAACTTCAGTAGCAAGAAGCCCCCTCCGGCCGCCTCAAATTTCAGCCTGTGTTTTGCAGAGAAATCTGACCCCAGAGCAGATGGAACCATTCCCTCATCATGTGAGGGGATGTGGGAGACTGCGGCAGCAGAAACCAGATGCCCACAGCCCAGGGATGTTGGGAGGAGGAGACCACATCCTCTTGGGCCATGGTTCTCAACTGGAGGCAACTATGCTCCTCAAGGAGCATCTGGCGGTGTCTGGAGATATTTTTTGGCGGTGAAAACTGGGGTGGGTGCTCCTGTATCTAATGGGCAGAGTCCAGGGCTACTGCTCACCTTCCCACAGTGCACACGACAGTCCCCAGCAACAAAGAATCACACGTCTCCAAATGTCAGGAGCTCCCAGCATAAGAAATCCTGCTCCAAGGGGCTGAGCTAAAGATGCTGAGATCGTGTCGCTGAGACTGGAGAAGTGACAACTCCCACAATCTGTCTAGCACCTTCTATGCACCAGGTGCCATGTCAATTGTGTCAAATGTTTTAGGTGCCACTGAAGACACGTAAGCGCCTGCGAGGTGCCAAGCACGGCTCACATGGTATAACCGACATTTACACACATTCAGTCTTCTGACCACATTCATTGGACTCTGGAGCCAAACAGTATGGGTTTGAATCCTGAGGCTACCACTTCGTAGCTGGGTAGCAATGGGCAAGTTACGTAACTTCTCTGCGCCATTTTTATTCTTTTTTGAAATAATGAAATTTTTTTTCATTATTTATTTCATTATTTTCACTCTGATGCCTAGGCTGGAGGACGGCAGCATGATCATAGCTCACTGTAACCTTGAACTCCTGGGATCAATCAGTCCTCCTGCCTCAGCCTCTCAAGTAACTAGGACTACAGGTGCACCACCATGCCTGCTTTTTTAATTTCTGTTTCAACATGGTCTCACTGTATTACCCAGACTGGTCTCAAACCCCTGGCCTCAAGCAATCCTCCTGCCTTGGTCTCCCAAAGGGCTAGGATTGTAAGTATGAGCCATTGTACCCAGCCTGTGCCTCACTTTTTCATTTGTAAAATACAGTTGACAATCATGCAGTTGACTTCAGAGGGCTGTGGTGGGGTGTTTATGAGTCAGTGCACACAGAGCACTTGCAACAATGGTTGGCACTTAGTAGGTGCTCAGTAAATCTCAGTGAGGCAACACCCTATGGCCTGAAAGAGCACCAACCCTACCAGCTGGCTGTGGCTGTGAATGCTGGCTCTTCTTTTCATCAGCTGTGCAATCTCAGGCAAGTTTCAGAGGCCAGTTTCTTCATCTGGAAAATGGGGGTTTTCGTCACCTTCTTCTAGGGGTGCCATGGTGAGTAATGGAGAAACTGGTACACTAATATCCTTGGAACACAATGTGCACGGCAGGGGCTCTGTAAGTTACAGTGTCACTGTACTTACTGCCATGAGTATTTACTTATTCTTTTTTGAGATAGAGTCTCGCTCTGTCACCAAGGCTGAAGTAGAGATCTTGTTACTGTACTCCAGCCTGGGCAATAGAGCAAGACTCTGTTTCAAAAAACAAAAAGAAAAAAACAGCAAAAGAACAACACAAAAACTGGTATGATCTCGGCTCACTGCAACCTCTGCCCCCAGGTTCAAAAGATGAGTTTTCACCGTGTTGGCAAGGCTGGTCTCGAACTCCTGACCTCAAGTGATCCACTCGCCTCAGCCTCCCAAAGTGCTGGGATTACAGGCATGAGCCACCGTGCCCAGTCTAATATTTATTATTAAGTGCCTGGAGAGATAGTTGCTGATAAGAGCCCTTACACAGGGAGATGAGCTGGGAAATGATAAATTAACAAGCTACAAAATAAACAAACCTGCCAATAAAAATCCATGGCCAGGCCAGGCGTGGCAGCTCACACCTGTAATCCCAGCACTTTGGGAGGCCAAGGCAGGCAGATCACGAGATCAGGAGATCAAGACCAACATGGTAAAACCCCGTTTCTACAAAAAATACAAAAATTAGCTGGGCATGGTGGTGGGCGCATGTAATCCCAGCTACTTGAGAGGCTTAGGCA